CTTGTTATACATTTGTATTTTAAGTCATTTTAAAGGCTGTTGTTAACTTGGATCTATTTTTTTTACCACAATTCTTTTAACCGATTACTCGATTAATCGATGGAATAATCTGTAGAATACTCAATTACTTAAATAATCGATAGCTACAGCCCTAATTTCGTTATAATATTAGTTGTTGTTATATATGTATATAATATTTCCCCTTCTGTGCGTTTGAATTTTCCCATACATGTGCAAGTTTGACCCTGCTGGTCATACAGTCCCACAAAATTAAATTTGATATACGCTTTCTACTGTACATGATGAATATACTGCTGATGTTGACCACTCTGATGTTTCCGTTGAGCTAGTAGTGCAATTACTCCAGCGTTTTCCTTTCTGTTAAGATAATAAACCATATGCAGGGTAAATCTGTAATCTAACGATCACTTGTTCTGTTCACTTTGAAGTTTTCTGGAACAATCTGTCACGGGCTGGTCTGTAACTATATGCAGGACTTATTTACACTCCCTGTCTAAACTCTGGGTTTTCATTAAATGATAGAAAATTATCAATTAAAAACAAATGTGTACATAGTCAAGTGTGAGGCCAATTTCTCTCATAGTCTTTCAAATGTGTCTGGTTTGTCTTGGATTTAAGCTTCATGTTACTTCGTATTCTTTTGTTTGTTGCTTTTTTTTTCTTCTCATATTTAATTTCTCTCTCTCCCACCGTGTAGCGTTCACTTCCTGATGATCTTTATCTCATCTTCACTCTTTTCTATGCTTTGTTTGGACTGTCGGCAAAAGCTCCTGGCTTCACTATCAGTGGTGTTGCTCGGCTGTAAATGGTCTTTATGGCAGGAAAAAGAGAGAGAGGAGCACAAGCTGTGCGGCTTTAGAGAAGCAAGTGTCTGTCCGTCTGGTCTCTCGCGCTCTCCTTCGTTCAGTGCTGTGACAGAAGAGTTATTCTTTGACTAGTTTATGACCCTCTAAAACAGGGTGCATTAAAGATGCTTCTGTCTTCCAGCTGCATCATAAAGCTCCATCATTGACATCATTTCACACTTCCAAAGACCGAAGTTCACACTCTGCTTATCAGTGATAAAGATAGACGGATAGATAAAGGTCGCCTCTCTGGCGTTCTACTCATGATATGGCCCTTTGAGGGGAAAAACTGATATAACGGTTGTTTTTATTGTTTACAATACATTTCAATTGTGTATTGTTTTTATTGTTAACTATAACATCGATATTATTTTCTATATCTGAACCAGGATATCATCAGAACTCGGCTTGGTTTCAATATATGAACAGGTTCTTGTTGTTTACACTCAAAGCAGTGACCAAATAATGTCATTGAGTGACCAAAATAAAACATAATATTTGATCATATTCTGGCCTAAAATCACAAGCTGCACAATTCTGTGTGTTATTGGTAATGTGTTTTTTCTTTGGTCATTTCCTAAATGACTTTGACCTTTGTTAGGTGTGAATGTTCTCTTACCCTGGTTTCCTGGCATAGGAAGCTGTTGGCCTGCAGGTTTAATGGAAAAGAGAAAAAATAGACATCAGTGCCTGTTAGTTGAAGTTGAATTTACTAGCCTGTACTAGCGCGGTTAGGTTGGAAGTCATTATTGTCTGCATGACTATAAAATGGTTCAATAGCATGCAGAATTGTGTAAACGCTCTGTTCTGAATCTGAACTGGTTGCAAGTTTCTGAGCTGATCTGAGAGCAGTTGTGCCATAAAGAGTGATGATTGGATAATTCCTGAAGATAGCATTATAGAAGATAGATGGCACAAAAGCAAATGCGCTCACCTCCAACTTCAATTGCACTAACTAGTTTCTTAGTGATCCAAAAGAGTGTTTCTGGTTTCCTTTAAAGGTCTAGTTGGCCAGCTGGACTCTCTGAGGAAGGGGAGATGTGTTTGTTTAGTTCAGAGTAAAGAGCAATGGGTTTGTTCATAGTTTGAATCATAATAGGCATTAAAACAAATGGGTTAAGACTAGAAAGTTTGTAGATATATTCAGTGATGTTAATTATTTGTAGAGTTAGTTGATATGCTACTTTTTTTCTTCATTAGGCCTAATTTCTTAGGTTTTCTGGCCTTTGTGACTGTCTAATAAAATAGTGGTAATCACAAATAGATAATAGTTGTTTAATATAGAAATATACAATTTCAATATAAAAATTACAGCTGAATTCATAAAGCTTTATCATCATTGATTTTATTTGTCAAACTTCAATGATAATTTTTATTATTTTATTCAACTCTAATATTTCTACATGAATTTAAGCTTTTTTCAATCATTTTAAGAATACTCTATCATTAAAGAGCCCATGATACAACTTGATGTTTTGTCTATCTTGAAATATTTGTTATTCAAACAAGAAGTTGGTGTGGGATCTCAAAAGGCTCATTCTTTTATTTATTTTCATGGTTTCCACAAAAATATTAAGCAGCACAACAGTTTTCTTGAGCAAATGTCTTTTTTACTAAATGTTTTTTGAGCAGCAAATTAGCATATTATAATGATTTCTGAAAGATCATGTGAGAGACTGATGACTGGAGTAATGATGCTGAAAATCCAGATTTGCCATCACAGGAATAAATTACATTTATTTATTTTAAAATACATTAATATTACTTTTTTTTCTGTATTTTTCATCAAATAGTCTTTCAAAAATATTAAGACATTTTTACCGATTACAAACTTTCGTAGATTGCCAGACATGGCCTAAGAGCTACAAAACTCACAATTTGGACTTTACAAACCACAAAAGACTTAAGTCTTAAGGACTTTACATTTAAATCAATCCTCACTGGAAAACTGGAGCGTTAGTTAAGCCTGCTGTATGCTTATAACGACCATGTGATTTATGCCCCAAAGGTCAGCCTGAAAGTGTGAAAGTTAGTGTTATCTGATAAGATAAAGCGGCTTAAACAAAGTGGAGTGACTGAGAATTATACACCGTGATTATATTATCACTCTCATTTCCTTTTTGGCTGGTTAGGAGTAGGTCAGTTCTCCAAACATGAGGTCCCCATGAGCTTTTTGTCTTGCTTGGCTGTATAGCAGTAAAAATTTTAATGACTCTAATACTTCCCGCCTCTTTATTAGCTCCACCCACTAATGATTGACAGAGCTGTTGACAATTGTGGTATTGTTTAACCCTGTATTTGGTCTCCATTTCAGCCCATAAAATTCTGTAGTGGAAATTCACCACAGAACATCAGTCAGTAATCGGCGTGTAAATGACAAGATTGACGGTTTCATTATGCTCATTTTCAGCAATTTGCAGGTTGGAAACGGCTAAAGCAGATTATCAACCTCCGCTCCACACGGGTGTGGATGGTTTTTCTCGACAGTATTTGTGCCCCCTGGTGAGGCTCTTTTAAGAAAGCCTGCAATTTTTCACTTTGCTTCGGTATAATTAGGTAATTGCCTCATGGTACAGGACTGTAATTTCGCTGTGTTCACCCCTGTCAGATGATTGCCTTCAGGGCAGCTCACCCTGTGTTATTATCTCCACACAAACACTCACATGAGCCGAACCACAGAAGCATTGTCACAGTTTTTTTTCTATTCAGACCAAGTAAGGTACTAGAGTAAATTGCTTTGGTAGTTTGTGCAACTTTACCTCTTGAATAGGGACAGATTGAGCTACTTAAAGTGTGATGATTAAATTATGATGTCTGCATTATTAAAATATATATTTCCTTTTTTTTTATTCCTTCTTTGGTGCACAATGCTAAATTGAGATGGTATACAACCATCTTAAATGTTAGCTATAGTCGATGTCTGTTCTATCTCAAGTTTGCTTGTGTATGGCTGGGGTTGACAGCTCTGAGTGAGAAACGCACATTAGGTGTAATTCTGCTTCTTTACAACCAGCTAGCTCCACAAATCCTCACTCGGGTTCGACTCAGCAGATGGAAAAACAATCATCCAATTGTTTCTTTACAAGCGCAGATGAGCTGCCGGTTAAAACAGCTAGCTAACTCTACTAAGTGGACCTTGATGGGTGCGTCATTGAGTCTGTTAGTCAGGGAGTTGAAGATAATCCGAAAGTCAATAGTTTGTGTTTGCGGGAACAAACCGCTTTCTGAACGGATTGTACATGTGGACACTTCTTATACACTTTCTATTAGCCTGAACTTCCAAAAGCCCAGTCACTCAACTTCCATTGCACATGCATAACTTTTAGTTGTTTAACTTGAATTTAACCTGAAAATTCCTTTAAAAAAAAATATAATGCAATATTTAACCGTCAATATTTGTATACAAAATATATGAAGCATTTAAGATGGCTTATTCACCCGCCTTCCATTCCTGCTTTCTTCGCTAATAATTTGCGGTTCTCTCTCATTTTCTAAAAAATAAATAGAAATTGGAAAAAAAAAGTACTGACAAAATTTCAATACTCTCCTAAGATTGAATATAAATTCAGTCAGAGTCCCTTTTTAAACCATTTACTCCCAACTATAAACAATACAAGAATGGTGCAGCCCATCCGAAAGGAAAATCTGAGCAGGCAGTAGCCGAGGAGCGAAGGAAGAAACCACAGAGCTGACAGGAGCTTTATAGATCACAGCGCCATCAATCTCTGACATTTCAGCAGGGAGAGCAGGAGGTCAGCGCTCTGCCAAGCTCGATCTGAAGCCCTTGGATGAGTGCTCGCCTGAACCGCGCTGAAATGAAGATGACGTCCCGCTAAAGGAGGCTGTTGATGTTTCTGATTTATGGGCCATAAGTGTCGATATGACACGTTTCAGTGATGCACCGGACTGATAGACTGTTCGGTGTGTTGTTGAAAGCTGCTGCTGGCAAAGTAGATATAGTGAGGCGAGAGATTTAGGGCGCTTGAACGGGTCTGCTCGTGAGAGATGCGATCGTTTTCATGTCACCGCTTTTTACTGAAGGAGTAGCGTCTGTCGACGGTTGTGAGATGCCTGACTAAAGTGTTTTAATACATTTCTCTCTCTCTCTTCCCCTCCCTCTCTTTGTTCACTCAGAAATCTGAGCCACAACAAGCTGACAGCAGTCGATATGGACATCCTCTCCAATCTGCCCAACCTGAGAGAAGTGTGAGTAGAACAGTCCCATGTCCCCGTCATGTCTCGGAGTCCAAACCTCCTGTAGATCGGCCCAATGTCAGCTGTAAATCTGTCCCTGCTTAACGAAATCAATTAGCATGCTAACAACTTTCCCAGAGCTGTAACAGGATGTTGTCGCGCTTCATAAACTTTACGGCCAACTTTTGTTTCAAGGACAATGATGCATCTTTAAGCATATCATTTATAAGACAACTCTTTGTTTCTGAGTGGAAGTGCTGGTTAATTTTACGTGTAAAATACAAACCACTTCTGATCCTGGCTAGAAAACATTCCCACAGCTAAAGCCCCACAGAGAGAGGCAATTGAATGAAGTTCATTAAATGGTGTAATAATGTTGATTACAGCCATTAGCCACAATCGGTCATAAATCATTTTAAAGCGTGCTGTCAGTGCTATTGGATATTTAAGTACTTTAGCTGGTGGCTATTGTCCTGAAAGTGGCGGAGATTGGGAATAAAGAGGTTTGCTATTATAAGCGCCTTCCATCATCACCCGACACCAGCCACTAACCTGCGCTGTAAATATTTAATACATCGAGGGACTGTGTCTGGCCCTCTGCCAGACGGGCCTACTTTCTCTCTCAGTGTGTGGATGGTCACTGTTAGTGTGTGTGTATATATATATATATACATATATACCATGTTAAAAGCATTTATTATATTATATTATATCAGATTTTTTTTATATCAGAATATATTTATATCAAAATACATATTCTAAAAACATTTTGTCCTGTTTTTTTGATTGACAGGAGGCTTGACCACAATGAGCTGACATCCATCCCTTCATTTGGAGACGCAGCAGCAACAGTCGTTACACTGTTCTTGTAAGTAAACATCAGTGTGTGATGCGCTATGATGACGCATGCTGCTGAGTTGGCACTTTTCTATATATGACACAAATTATTGTTTGCATGGTGTGAACAGTCATATTTTCTTTAAGGAATATTTCAATTGTTGCAAATCAGGCTTGAAGTAAATCCCTTCCATTGGTTACTTGTTTAATATTTTTGTCGTTTTTAAATCGGATTGTGCAAGCCTAAAAAATCCCACTTCTGGACAGTGTTTAGTGTTGTTGGCTGTGTTAGTGAAACTTTTACTAGCGTTACCCTGGGAGAATTACTACCTTATTTGGGGTGATAATGTGTATCTGTGTTTGTTTCTTGGCGGTTGAGCCCATTCCTTCCTCAGCATCCAGGTACGCATTTATGGTTTGTGAATATGAGATTTTTTTTTTTTTTTTTTACAGTATTATAGTAACATAGACAGATTTTGCACAAGATGCAAATGCTAGTAATGAATATCAGGTTTATATTTAAACTAATATCAAAGGTGAAGTCTGTAATTTCAGTGCTATAAAGTGTCACCAAACAGAGCTGCAAAATGATTGAAGAATTAAAAAAACAACAATGCTGTTTTCAAGCAGTGATTTCTTTACATCAAATTATCAAAATCGTTTACCTTTACACACTTTAAATAATGCTTGGTTATAGACTTAAGTCATGTTCAGTCTGTACATCCCTGTTTCAGAGCACCAGTTTGCCTGTATCTCCTTCACACCGACTGATATCCCAGCAGTAATCTGTCTTCTGCACGGATCATGTTCCCATCTGTAATATATCTTTCCACTACCAAATGTGTCGTTCATTTGAGCGGTAAAGCGATCGGTGTCTTTATAGCGGACAATTGTGCTGTCATGGTGTGACCTCATTAATTTACAGTTAATCACCATCTCCCAGAAATGATGAAATACCGTCTCAGTTCAATTCACAGGATTGGAACATTTGATATTACACTGCCGAGCTGTGATTGGAGGATATCGGGAAAGGTTGGAATGGGGGGTGATGATCAGGGAATGTAGGTCCAAATGGAAGGGTGCTTCTTTTTTTGGCCCTGGTTCGAGGCCTGTTGCTATAGAGGGTCGCTGCATATCGGGAAGGGCTCGTCTTTTTTGAGCCGCACAGCTGAATGTAGTAGAACGCCCAGCTGTAGCTGTCAATCAAATGGTTTACTGTAAAAGAAATGGGGGAGGGGTCAGTCGGAAAGGGGGCGAGATCGGATGGTTACTGATACGGACGGATGAAGGGGTAGGAACAGAAAGAGCGAGAGTTCTCGATTTCCACCTGTGAGGAACACCTGACCCTACTCCTGCTCGTGGCTCTTGTTCGGAAGGAACGCTCGCAGAATTCCTTCCCTCTGAGTTCACCAGCTGGAATGCTGTCGGACAGCAGCCCCCTGTGATACGGCCACAGAGCCAGCACTAAAATACTGCTTCGTCTGTCACCAACACCAAACTCCTCAATGCCCCGTTTCATCTGAACCGAGTACGGCATTTAAACAGTAGCGCTCTCTTTCCCTCTTTCTCTAGTGAAGTGTTTAAACAGCAGAGTCGGCATTCTACTGATTTTAATCTTTTCCTTTGACTGATGACAGTCGTATTCAAACAGTTTGATGTTGGACATCTGGTCTCACTTTTTACTGCCACAGCATATAGTACAGATCATGCACATTGTGGCGTTTTAGTTCATTGTGATTGTGGACTGTTGGGAAGTGTTTGACAGATGTTACTCTTGCTGGGTGTTTAAGGTGTATGGTAGGACATGGGGTGGGGGACGGGGGTCTGGAGCCTACATTTATTTATGTTAAACCGCTTGATTGTCACATTGATCTTGATATAATATAAATATTTTTCATCTGTTCAACGACTTTTCACTATGGCATACATTTGCCATTGTTACTAATTAGACTCAATGTTTAAGAGAAGTAAAAAAAAAAAATATATATATATATATATAAGAAGTTATATATTTATATCTTTTTAGGATATATAATAGCCAAATAAAAATCACAATAAATCACTGATATATTAACAATGTTGTTTTGTTGCCAAAAGTAATATTCTTAAATATTAAATTGCCCAAAATTTATTGAAACTTTCATATATCACACAGCCATATAGTGACAACACTCAAACGACCATGTGTCCTTTTTTGTTGTTTTGGACAAACCTGTTACTATTGCTGCTTTATGGACCCACCAATAACTAATTGTTTGGCTTCCCCGACTAATGTTAGGGTTGTGAAAAACAAAACAAATTAAACATATTTTTTAAATTTGACTAAGTGGTGTTAAATGACTAACCGAAGAACTCTTCATTTAGACTTTTTTAGATAATTGTTGAAATTTAATAATTGAAGACTTTGCAACAAAGTAAATGTGTTGCAAAATGTTTTGCTGGTAATATTACAGTGGTACTTGTAAGGGTATGGAATTAAAATAATATAAAAATAAATATTAAAGGGATAGTTCACCTATAAATTAAAATTCTGCCATCATTTACTCACCTTCATGTCATTCTAAACCGGTATGACTTTTTTTCTTTTGTGGAACATAAAATAAGATATTCTGAAAATTTCTTTTTTTTTCTTTCTCATACAATAAAAGTTAATCGTCATAAAACCTATTTGGTTACCACCATTCTTCAAAATATGTAATCTGGTGTTCTGCTGAACAAATAAGTCACACAGATTTGGAATGACATAATGGGCGATTTGGGTGAATTTATCCCTTTAAAACAAATAAACAATATGGGTCTTGTTAGTTGTTGGACTAACTAGTCTACTCGACCATTCCGATCCAACCCTACCTGAAACAATCTTTGAGGGCTCAGAACACCCTTCAAAAACCTTCCCACACCATTTCTCCTCCTTACTTTCAGAGTTCATCAAGCAGATAAGCCAATCAATGCTGCCTAAAGCAGCTAACCTTCTTATCCTCTGTGCGGTGCTGCTTTGGTTGGATTAACTGGCTAAGACATTCAGCTCCCACACTCTCTCTCTCCCCCCAACAACTGATTCCGACACTGATCCAGACGTTGATTTGGAATCCAGCTATAGTATTTCAGTTTAACCCCAACAAGTGTAAGAAAAACAACTAAACCACAAGCAAAGTCTTTGTAAACTATTTGTAAAGTATCGTTTTGCCTTGGGTCCGGTTTCGGATCTGCTGTAACCCGGATGTGGTGAGTACAGATCCCAGCAGTACCACTTTAAAATGGATTCAGGCCTGGGATGGCCAGCGCATGAGACTGGACCGTTTCTCTCGTTTAACGTCAGCATGTTTTTTTTTGCCCGGAGAAGGTCACCAGCTGCTGACCTGCTACTCAGTGGAGTCTCAGTGCTCTGTTAGTCACAGGAACATCCTGTAGGGCGGTAAGCACAGCACACGTCCTCATCCATACCCTCTGTCTGTTTATTCAGGTGGGACAGTGGGGGTACTCCCTCCTTTTCTCTTTCCTTCCGTCGTTCTCGCTCGCTCTTTCTTCTGTCCTTCCATTCCTCTTTCTTTTTCCCCTCTTCTCACAATTCCCACCCAGAATTCCAGTTAAACGGTCAACCCAGGGAGCATCTGCGTGTCTGCCGGGTCCCGTCTTCACTGGGAAAGGCCTTGCTGGTCTATTAGGCTCCCACAGAACACCTGCCAGCAGACAACCAGAGCAGAAATCCCCTCTTGGTCTCAGCGGACCGTGTGTTTACCGTGAGATTTACTCAGTATTGGGAAGCCGAATAAGGAGGCTTTGTTGTTCCAGTACAGACTCGTCTTCGCTGTATGGGCCTGTCTGCCTGGTCTTTGTAGGGTTTCCTGTTAGCATTGATCATAGTGCAGGTGCTGGAGCGTTGAGCATGACTAGCCAGCCTCAATGGAGGATGTTTCAGGTTCGACCGAACATCTCTCATATTTGGTATGGAGAATATTTGAATATGAGGTTAGGTTGGCCCATTGTATCCGTGCAAAAAGAGTACTGTGGCGGTACCATGATATAGCAATGGTAGCAGATAGTAATTCAAGGGGACATTGATATATAGTATTGTGTTGAATGAACCATATTCATATCCCACGGTTTTTACCCTAAAGCTTGTAACCTAAGCTTTCATCTTATGCAACTTCATTTCCTTAAGCCCTCTCTCTTACTTTTTTGTTTTTGTTTTTTAGTAGCAAATTTAATAGAAGGAGATTTTCTTTTCTTTTTTTTTCTTTAGTACTGTCCCATCCTCCAGTGCGGGGATGGCTTACTCTGAAACTACCCCAAAACAAATTCCAGATGTGGAGAGCTTGACCTCGCCATTCCTTCCGTGGCCGGCAAAAACAAGTGTGATTCTTAAGTCAGCTGCTTTCTCATGCCTCAACCCTAAAGAGAAATAGAAGCAAAGAAAAAAGGGGGAAGGACAGAAATCCAAAGCCCCCTTGAGAGAAAACTGTTATTGATTTGTCTTTACCACGTTAACAACCGTTCACACCGAGCCTAACTAACTAAATGACAAGAAAACACAAAATATTCACAAACACAACATGTTCACTTTTTTTTTTTGAACTTTTATTAATTTTACTTTTGACTGAGTTGGGTCAAAACAAGAGATTGAAATATTCGCAAACAAAACAAGTGTTCACGATCTAATCCGAATACAATGCAGAACATTAAAAAAATATTGGATACCGGATTTTTTTATACCTTTGTGTGACTAAACGAAACTAAAATGTTAAAATATGCACAAACTAACCCTAAAACTTCACAGCGAATCTAATCCAAATCCAATTCATGATTTAAGATTTGAGGGGAAAAAAGGTTGATTGTCAGATTTTTTTACACACTTTTCTGACTAAAAATATTCGCAAACATAACACATTTTTTTGCATCAAAAGTATTAACACAGAGTCCAATGCAAAAATGAGGTGTAATGCATATCATAGAAATGCATTGTTTCGGGTTAAAATCTTGTCTTTCACTTGGTGTGAAAATTTGCTTTAAAAGCTGAAATAAAGAGGCATATAGTTGTCTTATAAGTTATTTGAGTCATAATATATTTAGTCTGTTGTTAATCTCTTCTGTTGCACCCAAAGCTTTATGTACGGAAACAGCCATACACCGGTTTAGATGAATCTTTCATCTGACTGATATTTGTCACCATTGCTGGGTTTTTGTTTGGGATTCCAGGCCTGTATGTGTTTGTGCGTTTGCATCTGTGTGTTGACAAATCAAGTTACCGTATCTAGCCACAGTCACTTGGCACTTCTGAAGGCGTGTGTGGAAACAAGCCTCCATTGGGCTTCAAAGCCCCATTGACACATTCTCTCCGAAAGAGCCTCATGTGGTTAGAGCAGCCAGCTGCCTATCAGCACAGATATGTGGGCCAACATATAGTTTAACATGGTTGCCTATGCACTAATAAACCGAAAAACACTGCTATAACGTGACGTGAGAATTATAAGTCTAAAGTAACCAAGGGTAGATCTACACTTGTCAGGATATTCCATTTGTTTGCCTGATCTGTGTAGACATAGATTAGTATGTAATCTGTCCAGAGTGTCACATGAAGCCATATTAAACACTCAGTGAAGGTTTGTACAGCTGTGTATAGAGTTAGTTATAATAGATGTGTTCTTTTTTCCCCTTCTAGGCACCATAATAAAATCCGCAGACTGGAGGGGAGCCTGCTGCAGAACTTCTCTGCTCTGGAGACGCTAGATCTGAGTAATAATGACATCACAGAGCTGAGAGAGCACTGCTTCCCTCCGGGGTTACAAATCAAGGACCTGTAAGAAACGCACTCATTCTCTCTCTTTCAAATAGATGTAACTGTGAACATCTGTGTTCATGTAACACTGTATTCTTTCATAATCTGAAGCGTGATATTTCATCTCTGTAGGCACCTGAGCAGTAATAGGATTGTTCATCTGGAGTTCGGGGCGCTTAAGAACCTCGCCGGGAGTCTGCAGATCCTCAGACTTAGCCGGAACCGACTGACCCACCTTCCTGTTAAAGGCCTGGAGCTGCCCAAGCTTACACAACTGTGAGTGCACTGGTCCATACACACGCTCAAAGGTTTGGGGTCAGAAACAAAGAAATGAATACTTTCTAAGGACAAGGACTTATTTAGTTGATCAAATGTGACACTGAAGACATTTATTGTTACAAAAAAAATTATTAAATGGTGCTCTTTTGAACTTTATTCATTGAAGAATCCTGAAAAAAAAAGTATCACAGTTTCCAAAGTGATTTCTGAGAAACGCTGTTGAAAATGGATCAGACTTAGCGCCAACACACACTTGTAGCCAATCAGCAGTAAGGGTTGTATACACTCATTAGAGGGGAGGTGCCTGTGTTGCATAGTGTGTTTGTAAATTTGGGGGCGGAGCTATCAAGGGGTGTGATCCTTATGGGTAGGGGTATGAGTGTTTTGGTGATTTTTCAAATATCAACAGCATTTTTCAGAAATCACCTACTGCACCTTTAAGCAGCACAACTGTTTTCGACATTAATAATAATAATAATAATAATAAATGTTTCTTGAGCACCAAATCAGTATATTAGAATGATTTCTGAAGGATCACGTGACACTGAAGACTAAAATTTCAACTTTGCCATAACAGAAATAAATTACATTTTAAAATATATTAAAATAAAAAAGTTATTTATAATATTAAATAATTATATTTATAATAATTAATATTTATACTTTAAAAAACATTTTACTGACCCCATTTTTTTGTATTTTTGTTCGTTTTTATTGTTGTGCTTCAATTAAAGTGGCAACATAGTAAAACCCTTTTACCAGAATTTGCTTCTTTAAATGCATTTAGTTTCAATTGTAGCACAATTCGCACTGTTTTTTTTTTCATGGCATGCTCCACTGCGTTTTAAAGATGGCCTGTCAAGTTAAAATTAAACTAAGACCCCCAGGTTTTACTCCTTTTAATTGCACTTCTTCCAACTGTTTTCAAACACAAGAACATTTTAAAGGTAAACCCAAGGGTAATGTGACAAAACTCTACATCTCTATACTACTACTGTTTTTGACTTGGTCACATTAGTATAAATTCAGTTGTTGTTGTTATTGTGCAACTGCGTTTTCAAAAGGGTAGTTAATCGACTTTTAATGTATGAGTAGTTGAGTAGTTTAAACTATATTTTAAATTTATTCAGCAGCTTTGGAAGCTACAGTTTAAAGTACCTCCCCCCAACACTTGTTTCCAGATGTTATATTAAACGTATCAGCATTCATGACAGAAGACCACTGGTAAACATCAGAGAAGAACAATTCTTTCACTCCACTGCAGAGCATGGATCCCTCTTTGCCCCAAGCTTAACCATCTGTACCTAAGCTCTTTGTTTCTGCTCATAACAGACTTCCATCAAAAATTTGCTTTGTTCTTCAGGTGGACAGAGTGATACTGAATCTATGTATGAATGAGGCAACATAAGCTCATATTAAACCTCTCACACACACCTGGAGTGTATTTCAGCAACCACAAAGCCACAGCTATGTTGGTGAGCGAGAACAATAGGTTAGTTAGTAATGGCATCAAAGAGGGAGCAGAGCTGCTTTATTTGACCTGATGGTCAGCTGGACATGCCTATCTGTTTACAATTCTACGCTCTTAAGTTTTCAAAAATATAAGAATCATTTTGGGTTTCCAAAGAACCTTTGAGTAAACAGTTCCTAAAAGAACCATTTTGTCCCAGTGTGACAAATATTTTAATAATCTGAAGAACCTTTTTCCACTTTTTGTCCAATGGAAAGGTTCCATGGATGTTAAAGGTTCTATATGAAAGCATAGATCCCAATAAATGACCTATATTTTTAATGTCTTTAGAATATCATGCTGTGGACATTTCCTCTAGTACCTTTTTGGTCATTTATTTTAATCCCATTCTAATTTTGTGTTTTGTAGGGAGCTAAGCAGGAACAGGTTGCGGTTGATCGAGGGACTCACCTTCCAAGGTTTGAGCAGTTTAGAAGTTCTCAAGCTTCAGAGAAACAACATCAGCAAGCTGACGGATGGGGCGTTCTGGGGCCTGGCCCGGATGAGGGTTCTGTGAGTCCGAATCTTGTTACCACATGTACATAATTATTAATAGCTGTCAGAATAGTACACAATTGATAGTACTTCATATTTTTTTAACTGACATTTCTAATCAAAGTGACCTGCAATAGTGAATCTCTTTGCATCATATAGTTATTATATTGTGTGCATTTGTCATCTGTAGGCACCTGGACTATAACAATCTGCGGGAGGTGAACAGCGGCTCTCTGTACGGTCTGGAGTCGCTCCTGCAGCTCTACCTCTCCAACAACTCTATCTCTTACTTTAACCCTGAGGGCTGGGGCTTCTGTGAGAGACTCCGAGAACTGTGAGATTTCTACTACTCGTTCTTCTTCAGCATATAAAAATCAACAAATGTAACTGAAAATAATAATGTACATTTATTTCTTGTTTTAAAGAATAATACAATTTTATTTAATTATTACATTTATATATATTTATTTAAAATAATAAGAATCATATAATGCATTATTGTAACTTTAATGGTTTGAGATAGCTGATAGCGCAGACATATGTGTGCATTTCATGTAGAGTTTTTCTCTGAAATGCATTGCTACAATGTTGCTTGATGAATGTTAGAATGACATTTATGATTTAGAATCTATAAAAATCTACTCTTTTTAAGATGCTTTTCAGATATTTGTACATGTATGGACTACCATTCAGGGTTTGGGGTTGGTACGATTTAAAAAAAATGTTTGTTTTTTTTAAAGAAGTCTCTTATGCTCACCAATGCTGCGTTTATTTGATCAAAAATACAGTAAAAACAGTACTGTGAAATATTATTACAATTTAAAATAACAGTTTTCTATTTTAATATATTGTAATTTATTCCTGTAATGCCAAACAGGGTTTCCGCGGGGCATTAAAAAGCATTAAAAGTCCTTAAATGGATTCTGTGAAAATTAAGGCCTTAAATGGCATTAAAAAGCATTAAATTTGATTCCTACAGGCATTAAAAATGTTGATAGTTTTGAAGAGAATTTTATATCAATTTATTTGAATATAGCCTTCATAATTAATCATTTTTATTTGTTGTCGCAAAATATGTACGTTAGTGTGATAAACAATCGGAACCAGTATGGTAATTGCTTCCGGCCAGAGCAAAATTGCCGTGAGGTGCGGAGGTGACGCGGGCATTTTGTACAGCGGTTGACCGGTCTGAACCTTGGGAAAATGGGAAAGTGCAAATTCAAGCCAAAGTGGCTGGAAAATGAAAATTGTAAGACATGGTTGCAGGGTTTGTAAAAAAGTGTTTAAGTTGGGGACAATGGGAATCGGCGCCGTAAAATCGATTTAAATAGAATTTTCACGTAAATAAATACATAGATCCAACTATTTTATGTATGTACTTTAATAATCCAGTGTCAGAACTTTTGCCAAGCGTGTCAGAGGTCCTGGGTTCTAATCCGCCCTAAGAAGTAGGTTTTTTCCCCTCATCAAAACCGATTGTTTATCAGTGGTTGTATATCAAGCAGGGACACGTTTGTGTGCATTATGTTTTGTGATTTCGCCGTAACGAATAGACGAGCACTTTGGTCACTTGATTTCAAAAATAACTCATTTCAGATCGCCTCTTATTTAACAAACGAACGAAATGAATGCTCTGCTAGAGTTAAAGGGATAGTTCGGCCAAAAATGATATTTAACACATCCATTACTCACCCTCAAGCCGTTCGAGATGCATATGTCAATCTTGTTTCAGACGAACACATTTTCAGTTATTTTAGAAAATGTCTTAGACCCTTCAGTGGATACAATGTGAAGCAATGGGGTCCACCTCCAGGAACCGTCGTGACGTAGAACGAACGCGCCTGCGCAGCCAGAGAGCAGAGCAAAACAACGTCTACGTCACGACGGTTCCTAGGCTACGTCCTACCTCATACGCCGACTTCCATCACCCGTGAACGCGCTTCGATCGTTGCCGGAAGTCAGATATTTTCATTTATAAAGTTTTAAATATGTATATTTTTACGACAAAACCGCACGGATTACCCTCAGAAGGCCTTCGTTTATCCCCCTGGAGCCGGATTGATTACTTTTGTGAAGGATGTATGCACATTTTGGGACTTGAAGGAGGTGGACCCCATTGCTTCACATTATATCCACTGAAGGGTCTAAGACATTTTCTAAAATAACTGAAAATGTGTTCGTCTGAAACAAGGTTAAATATCATTTTTGGCCGAACTATCCCTTTAACTGGAAAAATGTTATTTATTTGTATTGGTACATCTGTGACGTGAGATGTTTAAAAAATGGTGGGGACACAATCGAACCTGGCAAAAAGTGGTGGGGACATGTCCTACCCGCCCCACCCGCAAATTATGCCAATGTGTTCCAGGATATATATATATATATATATATACGTGGTTAATCATGGGTCGTGTATGGCATTAAAACATTTAAAAATGGCATTAAAAAAGCATTAAAAAGGCATTTAATTTCATTTGAAGATACCTGCAGAAACCCTGGCCAAAGCTGAATTTTCAGCATCATTACTCCTGTCTTCATGATCCTTCAAAAATCATTCTAATATGCGGATTTGGTCTTCAAGTAACACTTTTTTTATTATTATTATCAATGTTGAAAACAGTTGTGCTGCTTCATATTTTTGTGAAAACATTATAAATTTTTTTTTTTCAGGATTCTTGATGAATAGAAAAATCAAAAGAACAGCATTTATTTGAAACGGAAATTTTTTGTAACATTGTAAATGTCTTTACCGTCACTTTTGATCAGATTAATGCATCCTTGCTGAATAAATCTAATTTCGTGAAACAAAATCTAACTTACACCAAACTTTTGAACGATAGTGTATATAACAGAATATAATCTACAAGAGGATTATTGTTCAAATTTGACGCCTGGTAAAAAACAACAACATGTAATCGCACCCAATCTTTACATTACACGAATGCATTTGTCCGCAGTATCACCTACTGCACTAAACGCACAGCACTCCTCGTCTTGCTGTAGATAAGCTCTGTTTATCCCCTAATGATGCACGGGATTGCCAGCGCTTAGGAGCTCAGCACCGTTTTCACTCATCTCTCCTGATGCTAGTTAAAGAAAACAGCGTAATCCTCCACGTATATGTCTGCCAAGTGTTACACAGAGATCTGTACCTGAGTGAAAGTGATCTTATCTGGGTGAATGTGTGTATACACTGCGCAGTCCTGTCAAGCGTATTGTGCGATATCTTCCTCTAGCTAACACTCTTGTCCGTTGTGGGGGTAACCAGGCTTTATTGGTAGGGCATGTTGACTGTTGTATCAGCTGAGTGGTCCGCCATGATTTTGCAGATAGGTTTATGACATGGCTGTTATTGCATTGTGGACGAGACTGCCTGATGAGACATCAACCTTCTGTGATAAACATTGAAAAAGCTAATCGAGGATACTATAATATGGACATGCAAAAGTTGAACACAGTTCTTGTTTGTTTTCCATTTTTTTTCAGGAACCTGTCCTATAATAACCTGACGAAGCTGTCTGAGGGTAGTTTTGCCAAGCTGGTGAATTTGATCTCGCTGCGTTTGGGACACAATTCCATCATTCACATCACGGAGGGAGCGTTCAGAGGCCTTAGTTCCCTGCGTACGCTGTAAGTGTTCTTACCCTGTGAGGAAACCTCTGGGATCCTGAACTAAGACTAATCCTGCATGTGAAAAACACTTGATAGTGTCAAAGCTGTGGCACAGTGGTTTGGAAGTCTACATGCCAAACCATTACGCCACTGCTCTGTCACACTGAGTCACGGTGCTCGTATGGGGGAAGCAGGTTCAAGTCCGTTCTGCCCTGATCACATTGCTCTTTTTTTCTACCCAGTAATTTAAGTCTTTAAATAAAAAATAAAATGGTAACCAACACAGAAAATAAAATAAATAAAAATGACAAAATACTAAAGAAAAACCGATAAAATATAATAAAAAATTGTAAAAATATACGTAGAAATAAGAGTCCTGCCTGTCAAAAAATGATAAAAAAAAAAAAGCCTACATATGCACGTGTGTCAGTAACACACCTTCCCCATTGAAATCAATCGTTCTAGACAGTGTTTCCCTTCATGAAATGGTTACACAAAACAGTCTTAGTTTCTACATGAATTAAAACTGTGGCAGAAAAACGTGTTGAATGATTTAGTGGCATTTGCTAAAGTAGCTGTTAGCCATTAAGTCTGGTGAGAAAACGTTCTGGTTTCTTTTCCTCTTTGTTTCCTTGTTGGTTCCCACCAAAGTTGGATGCACATATGCTCCCTGCTCAAGGCCTCCTAGTAGAGGCAACCTCTGTTTTTTATCCCCCGCACAGTGAAAGGCATTATGGGAGACCAACTCTCCAGCCTGACTTCTATAGACACACAAAGTCTCAACCGCCACTTCATGCCCCCCTCTTTCAGTGTCTCAGAAGAGAAAAGAGAGAAGAATTCTGTCTTTACTTTCTTAGTTGAAGGCTTTTTCACAGTGGGGTGACAAGCCAAGGCACAACACGGCCCTCAGCGCTGCTGGCAGTGGGCAGAGTGTGGGGGGAAGGGGCCTGTGAAGTGCGATTGTGAGGGCCTCTGTTTTCTTTTGTTCCGTCGTTCCTTTATGTCTTACTTGCTTGATTTCCTTTATATCGTTCTCTCTCTCCCTCACTAGCTCTCTGAGCCAGTTCTAATCTAATCATGGCCTTAGTGCCTTGCTGGGGCTCCGGTTGAAAAGAAGCAGGGGAGGTTTTAATTGGTGCGCGCTTCTGGCCGGGCGAGAGAAGCCCTGGTCGGGTGTGAGAGACCAGAACCGGACCGTCTTTGAGCCGAGGAGGTGGGGGTCAGGCCTGGGGGCCTCCGCCCTTACTGTCATTAACAAGCCAGGGTCCATTCACAAGCAGCCAGCCAGAAAGAATAGGAAATTGGCAACCAAGCCTAGGCATGGAGGGAAAGTAACAGAAAGAGCCAAGGGGGCGGTCGTCAGGCTGGAGGGAACTGGCTCAATCCCTCCACCCTCTCACCTCAAAAAGACATTTATTCTTTTTCAGCGACAACAGTCTTTTTTTAATGGCATAGAAACACAGGGACCCCTTACAAAAATGGCATCAGATGGTAATTCCATGGTACTATGAGATGATTACTATTCATCAACAATAGTTTTTTACAATGTTTTGGTGGGCTTTTAATGGTATTCTTTAAAGGTGCTATCACTAGTATAGCAATGTATGAAGCACAGCTCACACAGAATTCACTTTCAAACCAAGCAACTTTCTGTTGGTCAATGTGGCGCATTTGCAAATTTATAATACAAAATCTATGTTAAATCATACTCACGTGACATTCCCGATTGCGTGGATTCCTATTGAAATGACTGGATTTCACCCACGAAAATGTACAGAACAACGGTAAACGTGACCTCACCTTATACCATTTAAAGCCCAAAGTATACATGAGTTTTGTATGCGTACAGCCAAACACACAGCCTTTCAAAGTATACTCCATTTGAGAGCGTGCGCGAACACATGCGCACTAGAACGTTGAATTCTTGTTTAGTGTCTGCGATGTGAGAATCTCTTCATCCCCTCATACAAACAGCCATCTATTGTTTGTAGTAGGTGCATGCAAAAACTGTATTCTTTGGGAAACATTTCGTTTCAGTGAAAAATGTGTTCAAAAGCATGATTATTTAAATTCGAGGAACAGGCCAGCCACATCCGTCATGTTTAGAGATTTACATCAGAAAGTCAGGGTCTTTTAGGCAGGCCGCTGGCACTGTCCAGGCTTGTTTGAGATTCGTCTGAAGCTGTTTTATGCGTATGCCCATATGCCTTTACCTGCCAACATGGTTGGTGCGGTGACTGATTCAAACGGCTGTCAGAGTGAGTATATGTGTGCAACTGTGTGAAAGAGTTGTGTTTGTGCAAGACGCTTTCAGCTGTCATGCATTATTCATGCATTGGCCTGTGCGTTGCTGCGCTCCTTAATGTCACAATTCACAAAGAAAAGAATGTGCTTGGTTGGCAGAGGGAAAGAGAGGGAGAGAAAGCAAGAAAGAGAGTGTTTGTTGGACGTTCTTGTTTTTAACCAGGTGTCCAGGGCAGCTTGTGCCACTGCTGAACATCTGTCAGCGGTTTATGGACGAGGAATTGACCCTCCGCTAAGCACCGCCTTAAAAACATTACTGACCAATCCTACCTCATTTGTTTTCTACAGAAATGATTGAAACGATGCTAAAACACTCATTCAATGTTATTTTATATACATATGAAATATATTTAAAATAAATTGAAAATGTTATATAAAAATGCATTTAGATATGTACATTTTTACAAAATTATTTAAAGAATGGCAGATAAAAGTGATTCTTCGCACTTCATTCCAGCTCACAAAAGAATATTTTCCAGAAATATAGGCTATATATATTATCCAATGTATGTATTTCACTGTATATATTTTCAAAATCACTGTTCATGGAAGTTTCCGGCACATTTCGGGGAAGATCTAAACTTTAACAACAGCAACCAAGGTGGGCGGAGCTTAGCAAATGTAAATTGTTCCATGTTCTCTGTGTCTTTCCTAATCTCTTTTTTTTTTTTTTCTCTCTCTGCAGGGAGTTGGATCACAATGACATCTCTGGCACTATTGAGGACACCAATGGGGCCTTCACTGGCCTCGAAAACCTCAACAAGCTGTGAGTGTTATGCTCTTTCCTTTCCCTCTGCACTTACATTTTTGGACATTCTTAAACCAGTTGCAACCATGACAATTGAAATCCCTAATATCCTGCTCCACAATAAACATCAGGCCACACTTTCCCAAGAAAATGTCATGTTTATTGACTCAAAAAGAAGAGGAAGCGCAGGTAACCTCAACCCGCATCTTGCACGAGGCTTATATTTTATGCAGTGCACATTTTGGGAAGGGAAGTCTTAGTGATGGAGGTCATTTGAGTTTGAGTACTGGAGCGAACGCTTTTCATCATTGACCGATAGGAGATGAGCTCTTGGCTTTGCTGTTGTGATGGAATCAGCGAGGGCATAAAAAGGGAGGCAGGCGAAGGAGGGGGGTGTGCTCACACACATCAAACGCACCGATCTGCGCCTTTTGTTATGGGAGCGGAGGTTCGCAAATCTGCGGAAGCCGCCTGTTGATGCACATCCCTCGCCAAATCCTGACAGCCACCCTGCCAGAAAGCCTATTCACCCAACCTGGGAACATGCGAGTGAGAATTAGAGATCGATGCACACAACATCAAAGTCGTTTCCATTGTTTTCTTTCTACAAGACGGGGCCATTTCTATAGTTCAAAAGTTTTAGTGGATTTTAGGGACAATTTTGACCTTTTTTTTGATAATTTTCTTGTGAATCATTTGTACGCTCCAAATATCTGCGCACAGATTCCGAATGTGTGTGACCCTGCCCATGATGTCAATGGATCCAGTTAGCATCTATTTCAATGGTTTCTATTTGGAATACTAGAGCTTTTGAATGATAGGGTTGGAAAGGAAGGCCAGGACTCGAGGCTGCCCAGAGGATGACCTGCAGATGGGTGGCTGCTTCAGGAATGGTGGGGGGGCCTGAGGAGATGAGTGGAGGTGATGTCTTAGTCTTTCAGGAGATGACAGATGCTGTCGCACACACACAGACCATCAGGCCGCTGACAGACACGGCAGAGCCACGGTTTTCTGGCCACATATTGAATAAACTAGGCGACTCAGGAAACTAAAAAATAGAAATAAAATAAAATATCTCACGGCTATAGTTATCATCATTTTTGAATCAATGCTTTATTTAATAAAGAGACATTATTGAATGGCTCTTTACTATGATACAATATTTTTTTGCACATTTATAATGACATTTCTTATACTTTATAAAACTATTTGGTAATACTTTATAGTAAGGTTTAATTTGTTCATATATATGTTAGTTAACATGCACTAACAATGAATAATAGCTCTAAAGCATTTCTTAATCTTAATTGATGTTAATTTCAAAATCTACCAATACATTTTTAAAAATCAAAAGTTGTATCTGTTAATATTATTTAATGGACCTGAGCTAAAATAACCTAACAATGAACAGTTGCATTTTTATTAACAAAGATTAATAAATATTGTAACAAATGTATTGCACATTGATAGTTAATGTGTTAACTAATGGGACCTTTATTGTAAAGCGTTTACCAATTTATTTATTTTTTATTGGTATCCATCAATAATAATTCTGCATGTTCATTTCCCCTATTTTTACATTTAGATTACCTTTGCCTTCATCGTTGATTTCTATTCTCACTAATAATTTAATTACAAAGGGAACATTGTAATCTTTAGCAAATCACTGTGAAAAATCTACAGATTTTTAACGAATCTAAGAGTACTATGATGCCTTGTAGCATTTAAAAATTTTAATTTTTACTTTATTTTTAATTTAAGGTAAATTTTAAAGCTTTTTATAGATTTATACAGATTTTTAACATTGGTCATTTATTGGCTATCAGCCATAACATGAAAATAATGATCAGACTATCATTATCAGCCGGAATCTTAATATCGGTGCATCTCTTTTTCTCTGCTGCTGTGAAGGTCATGTTTATCACAGCATGCAACAGCCCTAGACACGTCTAAAGATTGTGAGCCAATATCCGCCCATCCAAGGTCAGGAAGATCATCCCCTGATTGAAACGACAACATTGTCAAGTGTCAAATCTGGTTTATATGAGGAGGTGCTGGCTTTCATGGTGCTGACTGAGGAGTCTCAAACCCTCTTGGACAGGAAGTGCACTGATCAGGGGCTTGATTTTGGTCCAACATGCTTAAGAATGGAAATCGTGTCATCTGGGTTGGGGGTTACATCCCCGAAGGAGCCCGTTCCTCTTCGCCGTCCCGCGGTGTGTGTGTGTGTGTGTACGGCTGCTTTTGAAGAGCGAGCGGGATTAGCCTCTACAAGGGGTTTGAACCACAGCCTTGACAAGGCCACTTTTATTACTTTACAAGCCGTGTCGTCCTCCAGCCACTGAAGCTGCTTTTCATGTGACCTCGAGCTCTGGGCTCCACCTTGTCATCGCTATTAAATTCTAATAAAGATAAAAGTACGCTTTGAAGAGCTGCGCTGGGCCCCGATTCCTCACCCTCCTCCTAATCTCTACACAGTTCGGATTTCCAATCCCACAATCCCCCTCTCTTATCAGATTCAGCCCAACTAATTGTGCACTCTCTCTCTCTCTCTCTCTCTCTCTCTCTCTCTTTCTCTCTTCCCACTCCTTTATCTCGCCCTGCGTGTCTGGAAACGGCAGAACTCTGTTTGGAAACAAGATCAAGTCGGTGGCCAAGAAAGCCTTCTCGGGCCTGGAGGCTCTGGAGCACCTGTGAGTATCCCACAATGCCGTTCTGCTCTTACTGCCAAAAGTAAATGCTTAAGAGGGCTGCTAGCAATTTAATAGTGTCTTTGTAAAAGGAGAGGACGGGGTGGTTTGCAAGGCCAGCTGCTCTCGTCTCGTTAGAGCCAGCTTTAACTTGCACAGGAACACAGTTATGGAGCATATGGTCAGTTCCGTAGAAGAAATGGAATTTTTAAGCATTTCTGCAGACGCTGTAACTCCACATCTGATTTTAGGGTCTTTCCACCTTGTTCGGAGTTATCCCGTATAAAAATAGGCAAGAGATTTGCATGCGAGTGCAGCAGCTGTATGCGAACACGTCCATGCCCTCTTTTCGTCACCCCTGAGGGCCCTGTTTAATCTCTCAACAGGAACTTGGGGGAAAATGCCATCCGCTCCATCCAACCCGAGGCATTCAGCAAGATGAAGAACCTGCGTTACCTGTGAGTCCCATTAAACACGTGCTCCTTTTCACACGCACAACCACTCAGAATGTTTCTCAACATCATGAATGTTTGTCTGACAGTTAACAGTCAAATAATTGCGATTTAATACACATGCATGAACATACAAGTCATGATGAAATGTTTAGTTTCCTTTCAGGGAAATCATAGAATGCCATCACTAATGACAATTTAAATATTTATTTTAAGTGCACTTAAGTCCACTTTACTTTTTTTTTTTTAAAGAAATTTTTATCTTTTATAAAAGAAATGATCAGTTTCCACAAAAATATTAAGCAGCACAACTGTTTTCAACATTAATGATAATGAGAAATGTTTTTTGAGCATCAAATCAGCATATTAGAATGATTTCTAAAATGATCATGTGACGCTGAAAATTCATCTTTGACATCACAGGAATAAATTACATTTTAAGATATATAGAAATTTACTGTATTTTTGAAAAAATAAAATGCAGCCTTGGTGACTTCAAAAAATCTTACCAACCCCAAACCTTTGAACAGAATACCGTTCTTAAACAGAGATTTTTAATAACTTTATTTATACATATATTTTTTTTTAATATTTGACATTATGCTTGTATTAAATTGGCCATTTTTTTGGATGCTACTACCGGTATGTGACGACATGTGCACAATAATTCAATTCTGTCAAATCATCTCCATCAGGCTGAGGCTCTTTCTTTCGTCCCCTCTTTCTGCAGTCATATTCAGAGTGATAGTTTTCTGTGCGACTGCCAGCTGGACTGGTTTCCGGAGTGGCTGGTGACACGAGGGCTGCAGCCGGGCGTTCAGGCCACATGTGCCCACCCAGAGAACTTAAAGGGCACCAGCATCTACCAGGCTCCACCACAGAGCTTTGTTTGTCGTAAGCAGTGCTATATCCTACATCCATAGTCTATGACAAACAAACAAGAAAGAACTTAATCTTGAGATGGGTTCAAATGTGTCTATGCATCGACTTCCTTCCAGACGATCTTCCCAAACCCAAGATCACAGTCCACCCTGTCACCACGGCAGCAGTATTGGGCAAAGACGTGCGTCTGACCTGCACGGCTGCCAGCAGTAGCAGCTCACCCATGACCTTCACCTGGCGCAAGGACCAGGAGACGCTACGCCAAGCTGAGGTGGAGAACTTCGCCCATGTGCGGGCCAGTGACGGAGGGGTGATGGAGTACACCACTATCCTCCACCTCCGGCACGTCACCTTCAACCATGAGGGCCGCTACCAGTGCATCATCAGTAACCACTTCGGCTCTTCCTACTCTAACAAGGCCCGCGTCACCGTAAACGGTACATTTAACACACCTAAACTACATAGCTGTACGTTTCAGTTTGACCATCAGTCATGCCATTTGCCCAAAATGCCCATCATGCAAAGATCTTTTGTTCCAATGGAAGAATTTAATTGTTAAACAAATAATTGCAATTAATGATTTCATTGCTTTTTAAATGTCAGTGTATGCTTAATACACAATAGTCATTCATTAACTTTTGAACTTAACAAAAATATATCATCTCTTTAAAGGCTTAAAATATTTGTTTAATAATACATATTATACATATAATTTAAATTTATAAATATAATAATTTAAAATATTTAAAATTATATTATTTTTATTTTAAATGTTTTATAAATATTTTTGGGTCTAGTTTAGTTCAGTTTCATTTGTAATAATGGATTTTTCCAAACCCTGAATATTATATATTATTTTAGTAATATGTTATGAATTAAAGTTGTTTATATAATGTACATAATATTTATATAATATTATACATACTTATTATAATATATAATGTTATATATGTATGTTTATATATTTATATAATATAATAATGTTTATATATTTAAACATTACTTTATACATAAATTTATAATTCAGTCTGAAATTCTTCACTTTTAAAGGCAATTTTAAGGCTGTCTTGCGTGCAATTCTTTAAACGTACAAATCACACCAGTTCCCATCATGCACCATTTTCTCGGAGCTTTTCTTTCAGTGAAAGCATAGTTTGAATGTTCAAACCCAATTTTGCTGGTACAATTCAGGCCAAACTGTGCCGCTAGAACTTGGGAAGTTTTTAGCTTCTCTGCTGCTAGCAGTGCACTTAGATTACATGCCTTGTCAGTTGGAGCAACAGATGCAAATTGATTGTCCTGAGGCATTTTTGGTTTCATGCCCGTCCAAATCAAGCCATTTCCCATCACCAATTGAGTTAGTCACAGCTATGAATGCTAGGCTTGTTTGGTGCTGATGCAGCAACATTATGTGAATAATCCTTGCTAGGGCTAATTTCCCTTTGCTTTTCTATGCGCACAGTGCTGCCTTCATTCGTCAAGACCCCACGCGACATCACGATCCGCACGGGGACGAAGGCGCGGTTGGAGTGCGCGGCCGAAGGGCATCCGACTCCCCAGGTGGCGTGGCAGAAAGATGGTGGTACGGATTTCCCTGCCGCCCGAGAGCGCCGCATGCGTGTGATGCCTGATGATGATGTCTTCTTCATCATGGACGTGAAGCCTGAGGATATGGGCGTGTACAGCTGCACGGCCAAAAACACGGCGGGCATGATCTCCGCCAATGTCACTCTGACAGTGCTAGGTAAGGTCATTTTTGTAATATTTACATTATGGAATTTAGTTTTGTTTATTAAGCTGTTTGGAGTTTTGCCAACCGCTGCTTAGTTCTACTTAGGAATGTTTTTTTTCTTTCCCCGTCTGAAGCAGCTGGGCTTTATGTGCTGGTTGAAGGTGAAAGGTCAGGAAAGAGGTCACAGGCAGTAGAGGAAGTGCTGAGGGCTCACATAGTGGTATTTTGGAGTGTTTCTGAGCTCTCGACTGAGTAATTGCTTGACAGAAACAGTGAAATGCTCATTTTAGTGAGGACATTATGTGGTATAATCGACCTAAACTGGGCTTTGTTTTTGATTCACTAAAAAGAATTGACTCGAGAGTCAATCGTTTCATGAATCTGACTTCATGCTGCTTGCACTGGAAAAAAAATTCAGTTCACAAGAGTCATTCATTTGGTAATAAGACTACACTGGTGATGTATGTTTTTGATTCATTAAAAATAATTGACTCGAGTCAATTGTTTCCCATACTGCTCGCATTGGAAAGTCATTCATTTGGAAATACGACTACACTGGTGATGTATGTTTTTGATTCACTAAAAAGTTCACAAGAGTCATTTGTTCAGGATTTGGACTACACTTGGTCACACATGCTTTTCATTCTCTAAAACGAATCAGTTCAGAAGCATCATTCATTTGGAAATCCGACTACAGTGGTCCCACTGTATATTTTTGATTAACTGAAAATCACTCATTCATCAGGAATTGGACAATGCTGATTCTGCTTTGTGGTTGTTGTTTTTTCACTGAAAAGAACCAGTTCAAAGGAATATTTTTTTTTAGAAATCAGTCAAATGGGTCCTGCTGTATTTATTCACAAAAAAATGAACTAATTCGCCGAGTCATTTGTTCAGAAATCAGACTTTTTTTTATTTTTTATATGGAACTGATATCCATAATGCTAGTGTGGTCCTTAAAGTTGTCAAAATACAATTTAAGCAGATTTAAAATGTACGTTTTCCAAAAAGATTTTTTTTTGTCCAATACAATTACGATTCGCAGCTGTGACATGAACTAATCCCCAATGTCGAGGCATTTAAGGAATTTTAAGTACTTGGACAAATTTACTCATGTCCGTATGTAATTCAATAACTATTCCCTGTAATCTTCCTGCAGAGACCCCTCATCTGGCACAGGAAATGGAGGATAGAAATGTGGTGGTGGGCGAAACTGTTGCATTGCAGTGCAAGGCTTTAGGCAGCCCACCTCCTCGCATCACCTGGCTAAAGGGGGAGGAGCCTCTTCGTCCCAGCGACCGTCACCACTTCACTCCAGGGAATCAGCTCTTGGTGATCGGCACCACCACCTTTGAGGATGCAGGACGCTACACGTGTGTCATGTCCAACACCCTCGGCACAGAGCGAGCTCACTGCCAGCTCAGTGTTTACCAGCGATACGAGGACTGCGCACCTTTTACAAGTCCCAGCACTGTTACTGTTGGAATCATTGTCATAGCTGTGGTGACCAGTATTGTGGTGACATCACTAGTTTGGGTGTGTATTATCTACCAGACGAGGAAGAAGAGCGAGGAGTGCAGTGTAAACACAGGTGCGTATATTCACACAGATTTAGTTTGTTTGTTTAGGGCTCAGAATGTTTTTGTTTTTACAAGACTTTTATTTAAAACCTTTGCTCTTGCCTTTTATAGACGAGACAATTGTCCCTCCTGATGTCCCCAGTTACCTGTCCTCTCAGGGCACTTTATCAGAGAGACAGGATGTGTGTATACGAGTGGAGTCCAATGGCGGATCTCAACCCAACGGACACATAGAAAACAATGGTACAGTATCCACGCTTCTCTTGTAGATCCAGACAGAATCTTCTGACCTTTTCTAAGCGAATTTTGAGAGAGAAAAACCTTTGGAATATATTTCAACTACGCAAAATGTGTTAAATGGAGAGTAACGACAATGGTAATATATTCTACTTGGCAGCTTAAATTATGATCAGTTCAGTCAAAAATAAGTAGAACTTTAGGAATGTATTCTTCGGAAATTTGCGAAGCTTTCTGCGGGATTCTATTATTGCAGATTCCGTTTGGGATTCTAGCTTTCTGGCTAAAACATACAATAATAATAATAATAATAATTAATACAGGATTCCCATGATCACTGAAAATCGGAAAAATCATGGAAATTTTCATGTCTCTAAAATATTAATGACTAGACATTTGTCCTTGTGAATGTAGTTTCTATAAAATGAGGGTAGAAAATGTAGTGCAGGGTTGATTGGATTATGAGATTTGGGCGATGCACTCAAATGAATGCGAGCTTGAAGTGGATTGTAAGAAAGGGGAGGGTTTAAGCGACTAAGGGTGTATTCACACCTGCCTTGTTTGTTTCGATTGAATCGAACTCTAGTTCGTTTCCCCCCTTGGTGCGGACCTTTTGGGCAGGTGTGAATACAGCAATCGAACTCGGGTGCGGACCAAACAACCGAACTGAGACCCAGCTGAAGAGGTGGTCTCGGTACGGTTCCAAACGAACTCTGGTACGGTTCGTTTACGGTGTGAACATGAACCGACCCAATTGCAAGAAAGCACTGCGCCTTTGAGTTAACAGGCTTCCGTAGTCGGAGATTTTGGCATAATGGTTTGTGTTGTTGTTGTTCAAGTGCGAAAGAGAATTCCATTCCGGCGCGCTGTCTGGCCACACGATACTGTTGCGCGTCTTTCTGCGCGTCGTGTGTGCATCATTGGAATGGAATGAATGAGTGAGTGTGTGCATCAGGACATTCACATACAGAGCGTTCTCTTTAGTCTAATCACGCATTGATGCAAAAAAAAGCTTTTGCAGTTCATATAATGTAACGATAGTTACAATACAAGGATGATGCTGCGTTAAACTGGACAAACTTAATCGCAAGCGTTAACATTGACAGCACTTGTTAGCATAAGAATCTCATTATTTGAATGTGTGAACATAGCCCCTCTATATGACTGAAAACTTTATACCTTATCCGTCTTCTGCGCAGTTTCTTCATATTGCGTTTGTACAGAATAACACAAAATTAGTCAAATAACAAATATTGCAGTACGAAATATCTCCATGCTGAGCCTTTTTTGCACTTCCTGTTTTCCCTACTTGAGAATCCTTGTCCAATGAATGGACGACCTTAGCACACGTGTGGTTTTGTTTACAAATTTTGGTTCACTTGCAAAAAGCGCAGTGTGAAAGCGAACCGTACCAAAAAAAAAAAAATTTGGTCCGGACCAAAGCAAGTGAACTATCGGACTTTCCTGGTGCGAATACACTATAAATGATTAAAAAGTCCTGCATGTGTCACTAGAGAGGTGTTCCGGTGATAGTTGATTAAACAGTACAAGGTAAAAAAATTAAACAAACATATGCATTGATTAATAGTTCACACATTTACAAAATAGATGAATAAATGTGAATTGTCATGTCATGCCAACTTTGAATGTGTCCGTTTAAATGATCTTCGCATAACATCATAAGTTAAACAAGCTTCTCTCGCTTCAGGCTATGATGTGTGTACAGACTGCCTGGAAAACGGTACAAGTTACTCCAAACACTGCAACTACCTCCCTCATGGGATAGCGCCCCCTTCAGGCCTGGAGTATCAGCAGACACACCAGACATCATTCACCACCCACAACACTGAACCACACTGCAATGGCACACCCAACGGGGTCAGGAAAGAGTGTCAAACTCCCATCTTTCCCACCAACCACGACAGGGTGACAACATCGCCCTCATCGCACCAGTTCGACCGAAAAGGTGAGAATGATGAGGGAACGGATTCATCAATCCTTTGCTCCGTGGATGTGTTTTAGATGGCCATAAATTTAAGAAGTCTCACTCATGTCCCATAAATCATTACTACTGCCATCACTTAGCGAAAACACATTTTTTTAAATGTTAGTTTTGATTGATTTATGTCATGTTGATGATTGACTTCACATTGACTTAATACAGCGATAATATTTCTTGTTTTTCCTATCCTCTTTCAGGACTGTTGGTGAATCGGTCAGACACACCTCCCTCACTTGAAGAGACCTACCATCGGCCAGTAAAGCTCCTGTCTGGGGACTGTGACATTGGGTCTGAGCTTACACAGACTCTATTACCCAACGGACACGCATATACGCCTGATGCCACCCTAAGCGAGACTGAATCCTTCGGGCGGGCCAGTGACTAACAGCGCACCATCACTCTTTTTTTTTTATTCTTTTGCACTGAGAACTGCTACCTCACACTGAGGGGCACAGACAAAGCTGCCCCCGTCTATCTGAATGCAGAATAGGGGCGTCCGGAGTTTGAAGGCGAAGCTTGAGTGGGACGATGGTGTCCCGTGCGAGCGTTAATGATGTATATATATATATAATCCTCCTCAGGGAGGCTTTGTTCACACTTCAGAAATGTGGCTTGCATTTGACGCATGCAAAATGTATGACAGAGTGCTATAACGTTGGGCTTTGAGCTGTACATAAGAGTTTTCATATATATGAATGTATGTATTCTAGAACTTTTACAAAAGAGTGTTTAACTCTATTCGCTGCATGGTGAGATCAGAGTGGTTATTTTATTTCTATTTCTTTACAGATCTCTCCTGCTTTTCCCAGTTTTATAAGCAGTGCCTTATTGCAAGATCAAAATCCACATGTTTTGTTGGGAGATGTCTGTATATTTTTCCTTTCACAAATGGGAATTTTGTCATGCACTTGAAGTTTAAATAACCCAATGATCATAATAGGCTGTCTTAAAGGAATATTCTAGGTTAATAAGATACAGGGTTCCCATGGTCAGAAAACCTGGAAATATCAGGGACTTTCTTTTCTTTTCTTTTTGATGCCTAGACAAGTAATTGAATTTTTACAAAATCTTCAAAATTCATAGAAACGATCAAATGTTTTGGGGGTCTGTAATATTTTAGTTTTAGGCTTAGGGGTTTTAATACTTTTATTCAGCAAGGATGCTTTAAATTGAACAAGTGACCTTTCAATTAAATGCTGTTCATTTGAAGGTTCTATTCATCATATAATCTTTAAACAAGTATCAAGCTTTCAAAATATATTAAAAGAGAAGTCAAATTGCAATTTCACAATACAGTTTCTGTATTTAACTATTTTACTGTATTTATGTGCTTTGGTAAGCATTGAGACTTGTATTTAAATATTTTATAACATTCAAAAAAATATTACGAACCCCAAACTTTTGAACGGTAGATTAAGTTTGTCTTAATTTATATTTTTGAGGGAATTATTTATATATATATATATATATATATATATATATATATATATATATATATATATATATATATACACACACACACTGTATGTTTGAGTAATGATGATAGATTTCACAAAGCTGTGTTGTGGGTAACTTTCCCACACCTTTTACCAAAATCATGGAAATTCACTGATAAAAGGTGTGGGAAAGTTAATTTCTCCCCACAACACAGCTATGTGTCTTTACCACAAAATGAATTGCAATTCATACTTCAGTTTGCAAAAACTATGTGTACACAAAAAGGGCAGACAAAGACAAGTATTGTATTTGTCATCACTAACTGGTGTTTAACCTGGAATATTCCTTTGTCAGATTATATGTATGTTCTGGTCTGTGATGAAGGAAAAGCTCGGCATTGAAATTTCAGGTCCGTTGTGGTACAGAAATGGCAAATATTGGCGTATGGGAAATGTAAGCACTTTGAGGACTCGTATAACACATGAATTGAACATTTTTACAGCCTGAAATTCTAATGCAATCGAGGCTCTTCCGTTATCAAAGGTACATGGCACCTAAAGCTGCTTCACTCACCTACCTGTGGTATTTAAACCCAATTTTAAAATGTATTTGTTGACCGCCTTTTTTTAACATTTGGGAAAATAACAAATTATCCAACAATTAACATTTAGAGAGATTTGTTCTTACTGACTTTTAACTAACAGAAAAGCCGAATGCTGCCAAATCACGAAAGGGAAAAAAACTCAAGCTACGTGTGCTGGGCTTCAGGGTCTTCCTTCAACCACACAGAATGTCTACATGTAAAGGAAAAAAAAAACGGGAATAAGTGAACCCCCTCATCAGCTAAGCTCTCACAGTCTCAGGACTAAAGCAACTAATGCTAAGCTACATGTTGTCTTTGTTGGTTAGCCTGGGCCAAACTGGTTCATGCCAACAGCCAAGGTTTTTAGGCCAAATAATGAAACATCTCTACTACTAAACTAGGGGAAAGTTTTGTAAGGTTCGATAACAGCAAATGCCAGTTTAACCCCCAAAAGTTGAAATTGACCATAGCGGTACTTTGATACTGTGGGCAACTGGTGAACTGTGTAATCTAGCTCTGCGAAGAACCTCACTAGTTCACATCTGTTAACTCTACAGATGTGTGGCTCATACCAGATTAATTTATTGAAATGAACTCTAATCACAGCTGTTCACCCACATGGCTAAAACTGTTGAAGTGTCAAAATGACAAGTGTTTATTAAAGTCACGTGTTGCTCTTTTACTCCCTCTGGTTTGTGTCTTTATTTTGACGCAGTGGTTGAAAATACTTCGCATGAATAGGTTAAGTTAGTGCCCCCTCACATTTGTTTTAAGAAACCCAAAACCAACTAAATCACAGAAATCGCTGTAATGATTTTGTTGAACTCATTCCTGTGTATTGTTTGGACAGAAAGCGCATACCAGTGTAAGGTGGTTGCCCACTGTTTCAGTATTGTATTGTACTTGTGCCCCAAGCTTCATGACAGGTCAGACAAACATTCACACCTGTGGACTAATCCGTTTTTTCAGCTAATAATAGTAAAGCAGGTAGAGCAACTATCTTAAGCTTAAGGATCAAAGTCTAGACTCGACATGTAATGATAATCCACTGCAATAATATTGGTTACGCATTTGAACTTGTTACCAATTAGTGCATTCATGACTGAAGCGCATAAAGGACCGGCGCAGTCATGTTGTAATACAAATAGCCAATTCATTTTTGCAAAAAAAAAACTTTTTTAATCGATTCACATAGGTTTGCAAAAATGACATTTGAGTTTGAACCCGATCTGTGGTGCAACATAAGTGGAATTCAGGCTGTTAAACTCAATCTGTTGTGCACCGTTGAGCAGGAATGCAAACCCCTGTGTTATGTGATCTTTTTATCCAGACACCAGGTGTCCTAGCCGTGGACTCGAGACCAGCGGTTCAAACTGGGACAGAGGGTGCGCTTCTCAGTCAGATTTGACCAACCTCCACTCATCTGCAGTGCTGGTCTCTGACCTCGTCTTGCAGTTCTGGCCGTACGGTCAGGGTTTGGGTTGAGGAATCCGACCCACACTGTTCCATGGAGAGGGTGTTTATAAAAGCGTACGGCGCACTTTCTCATATGCGCCGAGGAAAATGAAGCCTCCCATGCTGATGAACGTCACTCTCGGGATGCTGCCGGCGAACAGCCTTTAGACATGACGACAAAAACATAAAAGCAAGAGTTAGAAATAAAACTGTCAAAATCCTGAACAAAGAACTCTTACAAACCGTTTTTTTACTAAATGAAAACACACAGCACAACCGGAATAGTCCGTGAATAGTGTTGGCCAACTGATTCCTGAACGAACAACTCTTATGAACGGTTCTCTTTAGTCTGTAGTCAAAAACATGCTTACACAACTGACTGTGTTGTCTATTAAGACTTAAACCATTGTTTAATGACGTAGATGACTAGTTGTTCATATGACATGTATCTCAAGATACACAAAATGAGTTTTGTCGTAGAAATTTAATAAGATAAAAATTATGAAATATGTAAACACATTTAGCACCGTTATCAAATGTATAGTTAAGGCGAATTATTGGACTGCTTTTATCTCTGTAAACACCTTTTGCAAGAATTTTCATTTTATTATCAAAATGATATCGTTTGTCAATAGGTTTCTACAATGTTTTCAACATTTATAATAAAAATAAATGTTTCTTGAGCATCAAATCAGCATATTAGAATGATTTCTGAAGGATCATGTGACACTGAAGACTGGAGTAATGATGCTGGAAAAAATCAGCTTTACCATCACGGTTGTAACGAGTGGTTATTTCAGTCACTGTTGCCCTTCTATCAGCTCGAACCAGTCTGGCCATTCTCCTCTGACCTCTGGCATCAACAAGGCATTTCCGCCCACAGAACTGCCGCTCACTGGATGTTTTTTTCTTTTTCGGACCATTCTCTGTAAACCCTAGAGATGGTTGTGCGTGAAAATCCCAGTAGATTAGCAGTTTCTGAAATACTCAGACCAGCCCTTCTGGCACCAACAATCATGCCACGTTCAAAGTCACTCAAATCACCTTTCTTCCCCATACTGATGCTCGGTTTGAACTGCAGGAGATTGTCTTGACCATGTCTACATGCCTAAATGCACTGAGTTGCCGCCATGTGATTGGCTGCTTAGAAATTAAGTGTTAACGAGCAGTTGGACAGGTGTACCTAATAAAGTGGCCGGTGAGTGTATATATATATATATATATATATATATATATAATGCATACATCTATATGTATGTATATATGCATGTCCGTTTATGTATATACTTTACAAAATGTTCTATGACTACCTGTCAATTCAATATTAATTTTGTTAACTAGCTGCTACATCAGCAACACCAGCTTGGACGTAACTTTTTAGATTAAATTAAATTCAAAGAGCAGCATAAAATAAAACATTAGCCATGCTCGATAACACAAGCATTGGGTATTTCTCAGCTGACAGTGTGTTGTTTGACGGATTACGGAGCGTTTGAGCAGGAATGTGCAGTGTAGGGGTTGTTGATGTTGGAGAGGTTAGAGGATGCGACAGGCCATGAAAGTACTGTAGTCTCCTAAGGCTCTTTTCCACGCAGCTGCTTTTGGTATAAGCACGGGCCCCCGGGGGCCTCTCCGCATGACTGATGGCCAGATGACATCCACACACGTCCCTCCGGCTCCCAGCACACCCACAGCACTCGTGCTTGGGCTCCTTCTGCTTCCTTTCTCGTTCAGTTTCATCTTGCTCAACTCTTCTCACGGTTTCTTCTTTTTAGTCTTTCTTGAAAGTTGCTGAAATCCATGTCTTGCTCACCCAACACACCAAATTCATGCCCTGTCAAGCCATCCAAACCGACTGATTTGGAATCAGCCTCCTCGAGTCCTTCAGTGTGACACCTGTGGGGGATAATGGAGGTCGGAAAGTGGGGGTGGGCCGGATCTAAAATTAGAAATAAGGTCACGGGTGGTGTAACCTCTAATACATCAATTTTGTCAACTGCAAAGCTGTACAAGGTGCCAAGCATGTCAGGGATCTCTTGACTATTCCAGTGATTCGCAGAACTCGACGTTTCAGCATGCTTCTGCTGGGATCATGTGTTTTACAGAGAGATGCTATGTCACAGTGAGCATGTGTGTGCGGACCTGTGAGCAAACACACTCATCCTGGAACGAATTAGCAAGGACGCATTCTGACAGTTTGTCTGTGCTGCGTGGGGTTGGCATTTCAGACCACGCGCTAAAAGAGAAACGTGAAACCTCGCATGCATGCTTTGAGTCAGTTCTGACCCTATCTTCGGCAACGGAAAACACAAATATGCATCACAGGAACTTTGTATAGACTAAATGTATAGGCAACACTCAATGTTTCTTTAGAGTGGAGTAAAAATACAGATAAATAGCATAAAAACATTCAAAGCAACCAATTTAGTAGAAAGGTGCATCCACTCCATGTCGGAATTACTGTAATTACAAGATTTTGTTCACACTTTTATACAGCTTGTAATAAAATTTTTGAGAGCTCTACCTTATACCACCTGACCACTGCAATGTCATAGAGGATCATTCAAAATGGCTTCGGCTCCAGCAGTAAAATGTAGTTAAGCTGTTATTTTGCGATATTCAGTGTTATTATTCATATAACTGACTATTCTTAATGTCTAAAGTCCCCATGAAGTCAATAATTTTATTCCTTAAAACGTTTATCACCAAAATGACATATATATTAAAAAAAATTCCTTGAGAAAAAGTTTTTCGTGCCTTAAAATAGCTTGAATGTAACTCTACACCCTTGCCTCATTTAGTATCCGCGGTTCTATGAATATGCTAATTAGCCCCGCCTCCACTCACTCCCACCAGCTCAGAGATCCACTCGTTGATGATCACATCATTTCTGTGATTGGTTACAAGGTAGATTGTGATACATTCCAATTTTTTTTTTACAAATATATATATATTTTTTAAAGAATACATTCAAACTCAAATTACGCAGATTGTAGAAAGTCCACGATGTCATTTAGTATGGTAATTACGGCATGGTGTGAACGCAGTATTATTCACAAATAAATTGACTGGTTCTTTTTAGTGAACCACAAACATACAACATGACCAGTCTTATTCACTAACAACAAAAGACTCTTTATGAGTCTGTCTGAAACACTGCCCTGTATAGTTTACAATATCAGCAGAGAGATTTTTTTTTTGTTTTACATACAGTAAATTAATATTATAAATAATATAAATCAGGGAACTTTGGGAGATTTTTTTCTTCTGTTTTATCATCCAGCATGTAAATAAGCCTGATCGCAACACCAATAATAATTGCAATAATTGTATTAATTATGAAGTATTAATGCCATGCATTTTGATTTCTATTATCTTGCAATCAAACCACAAACCATCCCATTCTGCTACAAAAGGAAATGAAGATGAGCTCATTGTGACGAAATCGCCTCGCCCAGCCCTGATCTCCAGTCAGTCAGCGGTGGACGGGTCTAATAACACCCCTATTAATGGCTCTATAAACACTGCATGCTTACCAGAAGCTTACTAAAGAAGATTTCTGATCAGAGGCAGGTCTTAAATCACTGTAACACTCTAAAGGAGGCAACTTACACTATATCTAACCAAAGCTCCAATTGATTTCACTGCACCTGGAGGTCATTATGAGGTCATTGCAACATTGCTAGCATTACTCTCTCAGCGGGCTGCTGCATCACCCTAGTCCACCCGTATGCGGCTGTAGCCTGGGTTGGGGTCGCAACACTTCAAAGCTTGGAAGAAGGTTAGCTCACAAGCGCATGGTTGCATTGATTGCCGATGTTTTGGTTGGTGTGGTTAGAAGCTTTCCGCAGAGCTCCGAGTCTGACACACATGGAAGCACTTTCTGGCTTCACTAGTCTGCAATTGGAGCCATTACAGTAATTACAGCTTTAAAGCCAGGCAATTTGTACAAGGCATGCAGTAGTGAAACTGCCAGAGTTGTTGCCCTTTATGCAAGCAAACCCCTTTGCCTTCTCTGGGTTTTTTTTTTTGCCCCGGCTTCTCTTAGAGTTTTAAATATTGTAATCTGGGAAGGGATTTTAGGAATTCCTTGAAGTCGTACAGTCTATTGTGTGTACTGCCTAAAAAAAGTTAATCATCAACTGAAGACATTTCTGAAAAGTTTTAGTTGGAGAGAAGAAAGAATATTATTATGAAGAGAGAGATTCACATGATCACTTAATGGGCATCTGTGCAAGGAACAATAATGATTGTCCACTTTTTCAACAGACCTTTTAATTATTTGTCATCCAAAAAAAAAAAAATTAATATATTTATGAATGACCTACAGTCCCACGAAGCAATGCGAATTGTGTAATCAAATACAAAATTATTTAACAATAAAGATTTTAAGGGTCAGTAAGAATTTTGAAAGTAGTATCTTATGGTCACTAAGGCTGAATTTATTTGATCAAAAACACAGTAAAACAGTAATATGGTGAAATATTATAATCAAAAATATTTTTTTTTATTTAAATATATTTAAAAATATAATTTATTCCTGAAATGGCAATACTGAATTTTCAGCATCATTTCTCCAGTCTTCAGTGTCACATGATCCTTAAGAAATTATTCTAATATGCTGATTTGCTGCTCAAGAAACATTTCTTAATAATATTAATGCTGAAATCTGTTGTGCTGATTAATATATTTGTGGAAGCGGTGCTAAAAACAATTCTTGATTCTTTGATGAATAGAAGTTTCAAAATAGCAAAATGTATTTGAATTTTTTGTAATATTACAAATACCTTCACTGCTAATTTATTGGGTCTTTGCTGAATAAAAGTATTAACTTCTTGACAAAGGTCTTTGCTGAATAAAAGTATTAACTTCTTGACAAAAAAAAAAAAAAGTTTTGGAAAGGAAGTGTGGTCGTGTTTCTTAAAAGGGGCTTATAATGTATGGGGGGGGGGGGGAAACATGTTGACTGAGGAATGCAGTATCAGGACACTCACCCAGCTATTCCTCGGCTCCTCCACACCTCATACAAAACCACTGGATATTTCCATTGGCTGTGCTCGTCCCAGCCTGACGAAAAGAGACAAAACACAGTAATGATGGATGATCCGTCTTTAAGCTTCCTGTCAAACATGTAAACACACACTGTGTTTTGTCTTCCTTTCGATTCTGCTCTGTTCCTGGTATACTCTACCGTCTCCACCTGTTCAACAGCTCCCCTTTCTGCTCATTCTATATTTATAGTCCCTTTTCTCCAAACCCACATTACCATCTTCAAAACAGCCATCTATATCAGGGAACTGTGAAGGAGAGTTAACGTAACAACTGTGTGTTTTACACTGGCACACCACTTTCTGAGGCTAATTTCGATGGCTCTATATTTAGACTCGGTTCGTTTTTCATATTTCAGAGTTTAAGTTGATGAGTTGACTGTACATTGAGCAGCCCGGTACACTGCAGTTCCCCACAGGGCTTGGAAAACCGCCTGGAGTGCATGTAGGCCAAAACACACACAGTACAGCAGACCTGCCTGAACATGAGGTCTCAATTTCTTTGATTGGTCAAATGGACCAAAGAGAGAGAGAGAGAGAGAGAGAGAGGAGAGAGAGAGAGAGAGAGAGAGAGAGAGAGAGATGAGAGAGAGAGAGAGAGAGAAGAGAGAGAGAGAGAGAGAGAGAGAGAGGAGAGAGAGAGAGAGAGAGAGAGAGAGAGAGAGAGAGAGAGAGAGAGAGAGAGAGAGAGAGAGAGAGAGAGAGAGAGAGAGAGAGAGAGAGATTTGGGCAAATACAAGGCAACCTGAAGTGACCTGAAGCATGCATGACACTTCACACTGTCAGCAAATGGCGTGAGGAGTCAGGTGCAAAAAAGACCCTTCACTCACTTTTCTACTTCTTTAAGGGGCCAACATTTTATTCAAATGCAAAATCAACTCCATTTATAATGTTTGACAAGTATAAATGTAGTTTTTCTTGACCATTCCCATCCTCTCTCTGACCATTATAATTAAACGTTTGTGCTACCGTACCTTTAAGATTCTATATGTAAACAACCTCTGTTATGACTGCATACTGGCGTAGTCCACGTGGTTTTATTTGTAAAGGGACAGTTCACCCAAAAATGGATGTGTATTTTCTATCCTCTGTGGAACACAAAAGAAGATATTTTGAGAAATGTTTTGTTCATTTTTTGTCCTTGAAGTCAATAGGGTCCAATGTTGTTTGGTTTCCAATATTCTTCACAATATCTTCTTCATGGTCCACAGAAGATAGTCAGTCATACAGGTTTGGAACAACATGAGGGCGAGTAAACTAAAAATGATCAAAGTTTTAACAGTAAAAGACTGCAAAAATGCAAAATTTTACAGCAAAGTACGGGGAAATGTAGTTTTTGGAAATGAAAAAGAACAAACCAGCTTGTAATACACAGTGAAAAACTGTAAATTGACATTCCCAGACATCTCTGTGTGACAGCTCGTATTTAATGCTTTCTCTTCTTAGTATTATCAGTCATGTATATTAGGGTTTTATGTTATATTGTATGTTGTTAGATTAATGTTTATTGCATTATTTTAGTGTCATGTGTTACCATGATGGTGTTTTGTATTTATGTATTACACTGTGCACATTCTTATATTATGTTCTTATATTAAAGGTGCTCTATGTAATTTTTAGCAGCCTCTAGTGGTGATGTAGACTGAACAATGTCAGTGTAACAGTAAGACAGTAGGAAGTAGCATTACTGTACTGAACGTGTCTGGAAATGTTTATTATAAACAATATGATAGTAGTGGGATGAGTAACGTTAGACAGTAGATCTAGTGCATAAAACAAGTATACATCCTAAAGCACCTACTTTTTCTTATCCTGGAACAGTCTTTTGTATTCATTTCATGTCTCATTTAGTTCACCTTGTTTACTAATAATTCAAAAGCTCTGCCGATGTTGATCCGTGTTTTCGTCCTGAGTCGATCAGAATCACGTTTGGCCTGACAAGCTTCAGGAGATAAAACTTTTTTTTGTTTTTTATATATTTGTGGAGTTTGTGTTTGTGTTGTTTTGGGGTGTTATCAGACTCCATGTCGTCAGCTGAAGTGCCGTCGGTCGCATAGACTGTATATAAAGAGAGAGGCTCGGGACCGCGCATGCACGTCACATCCGTTGGATTTCGCGGTAAATCCGACCCGGAGACTTCACATATAAATATGAATATTGGCCTTCAGAGGTAATAGCAAAACCCGACTAGTGGATCAATGCAATGTGTGATTACAACCCCTTCACACACAGGCAATAAAAAAAGGATTCATTTTAGAAGAAAAGCTACATAGAGCAACTTTAATATTTAGCTCAGGTTGTGGAAAAGCTACCTGTGATGAACTTTGATTCATCATGTGTCTTTCTCTTGCCCACCTGTGTTTTTAAGGTGTCTGTTTACTCACAGAGGATGGGCCAAGTCTAAACAAACTCAGACCATCTCAGGTGGTTATCCGAGTGTGGTTCCCTTCATTGCAAAGACTATGTACGTGTCAATATGCATCTTCACAATTCATCGCATCTTTCCATTTTTTGTAAATCTTGGTTTAATGATATATTCCCGCATTAATGATTCAAATGCTAAACATGGCTCTACTGTTGGGTCCATCACTATAGCTCTGTTCTAAAACCTAGTGACCTACATAGACAGCTGACTTCTAAGACAGCATCCTAACAATGGAACCTCATAGGTGACAGATTAGGAACAAAATAAGCAGCAATTAACGGTTCTCGATAGCCTGGTTAAAACCAGACCATTCTCAGTTGTAACTGAGTTATGGTCTGGCAAAGCGTCATAGACAAATCATTTCCAGAGGGGCGTCACCAACGGACGTCGCGGATAGACCTAAAACCAATCAGAGCGATGAAGGAGATGACGTACGCAGAGCGGCGAGAAACATCTCCGAGTGTTGTTCTTTGCTCGGTTTTTAACAAAAAGGAAACGTTCAAATCGCTTAAAACAGACGCGATAGCTGATTCGAACGAGTGATGTTCGACGGCGGCATCCATCTTTGTAATGTAGGCTACAAAATCTGCTTCAAAATCCCAGCGCTGTCGTCATCGTGTAAAGCCCGCCCCAACGTTTCTGATTGGTGCCTCGATTTCGACGGATTGGAAATGGGTTTGAATGAGCTCTTTGCCAAACTAACTTTCAGAACAAATCTAAATTTGCCAGAAGTTGTCTGGGTTTTCCCAGGCTAGGTTCTCGACTGATTTCTACATTGTTTATCGTTAGCACGTTGCTAAGCTAAGGGCACAATGATCTAAAACTGCGCCAGATATTGCATACTAGTCTAAAATCAGCAGTGTATTAAATACTTGTTCTCCCCACTGTATATTATTTGTAGCAGTGCATTCTGGGATTGCCTTCTCTGTTACATACAATACGGCTTTCGATTTGTGCGAAAATTTGGCAGAAGCTGAAGTTGCATAGCCTTTGCATCAAACTTATAATGCTGCCTAGATTTTGGAATAGAACATCTGCACCAGAAACCAAGTCTGCAGCCTTGCAGCTCTGAAGTGCAGTTCCGTTCCAGTCCATAGACAACTAGAAATTACACTTGAATATACAAACGTCTTCTGACATCTAACATGCACATACACGGCTCTGTCTGTTTTGAGTCTCGACTGGACAGGGGACAGTAAGAGGGAGTGCATTTGTGCGTCAGTAGCGTCCCTGGATAACCCTGCTATTGGATCAAGCTGTGTTTACTAAGGCTTTTTCTTCACTCTCTCTCTCTTCTGTTGCTTTTGTCTACATTAGGGCCGTTTGTTTGCTCACCTTGCACTCCATCTGGGAGGCATCAGGACACAGATTTAAACAACAGTTTCAAAGTCTCACCTTAGCCAACATTATCCAAGTCTTCGCCACATCTAGCGGAGTCGTGACGAACGCAGCTACTCCACCTGAAAAGAGACGTTTTGTGCATATGTATCAGCACACAAACACAAACAAGCACTAATTACAGTGGTAATCATGTTATAATTACCACCGAGAATAAATGTAAATATGTGCCATGAGATCAGCACTGATCACCCGATGGAAACGTTCTGGAGAAAAAGAGCGAACGCAGATGAATTTTTAAAACTAGCCTGGCACTGTCACGCACCCGTAAACACTCATGCACATTCATAAACTTGTTTTGGCGTAAATGAGAACAGAAAGAAGTTCCCTCTCTTTTCTAATAGAGGATCGGACAAACAACAGCATCAAGCTTTAAACGTTCTTCTCAACGCTGAAATAAACCATTAGTTCTCCCATAATGCCTAATTTCACTTCACTAACCAACAATTAAAAATGTCCCAAACACAAGTGATGTGTTTTTAGAGAAATGTTCCAGGAACAGACTGACGATTACCACTGAATATAATTTTGACTCAATCCTCAGATTGCAAAAACAAACAAAAAGATTACAAGTAAGTACATGAATGGTTCCAATGTAATTACATGTATACAATGGAAATTAATTCTTCCATACAAAAATATTTCAATTTGAGCAGTAAAGTTGTTACCTTTAGTAGCAGTTGGGTTAATTTTTTTGGCCTAAATTATGGTAACATGTTGCCAACGTAATTTCTAACTGATGTTTTTCTTTATGTAAACAACAGTTTCTCCCTGATTTAGACATTAGTCAGGTTAGACGACATATTGAATTTAACACAGATGCAAATGAGGCTGTGAGGGATGGAAATAGAGTCTTTATAATGGTTATGCATAGGATAAAGGTCCTAGATCATGTAATATTTACAACTTTTGAAAACGTTTTATGGAGTTAGTCTACAAATTTTTCGTCAGCTGAACAGTCGGTATGTTGTCAAACAACAGTACAATCCATTGAACTATTCTATTCTATTATAGATTAATACATATTGTATTCTATTCCGCACAGCCTGATTTTTATTCCTGTCAAAAATTCTACAAGAGCTGACTAAGATCAATTCTCTTGTTCCTTGCTGGCTGAAGGATCTTCTCAATCCTACCCAAACAGCCAAGTATCTTCCAATTGTCTTTTGCTGTGTATTTTATATATATATATATATATATATTATATATATATATATATATATTATATTTAAATTGTATTTATGCGTATATATATATATATATATATATATATATATATATATATATAAACACAAATACAATTTAAATATAATCAATAATAATTTTAAATTAAATGAATAAAAGAAAAATTACTTTTTTTACCTACGCCATTTCTTTCTTTTTATTAAATATACTAGCCCATTTTCCCCTTAAACTCTATTCAAAAGCATCTTCTACATGTTTTCTTGTGCGTATAAGGAAGTAGTCACCGGATTTACCAGCTTTACATGATCACGGTAATGGAAAGAGCATCTATAATAGGATATAACTCTGGACAAACAAGGTTAGCACGCGTTTCTACGTCATTAGATTCATGCCACCCCGAATAATGTTTAAGCTTCATGGCTCTACTTTCAAAAAAGCAATGCCTTCTTCCATTGTAACTGAATTACTGTAGATGCTGCTTTTGCTTGACTTATCCGTGACTTGCTGTTGATTACCACTGAAGTTGTGACATTGTATTGTATTCCCAATCTTGTACTAAACCAAGAACAACACTCCTTAAAAAGTAAAAGGAAACAATATTGGAGATGGAGAGAGATTGGGAAAAGAAAGCATTTCTCATTTGTTCTCTAGAGGCTTGCAGCTGTGGCAGTGATGGCAAGCAAACGCAACCATACAATGCATCACTATTCACATTTGTTTGGGTGATTTCACAACAACTCTAACAACCGCAATCCACCTAAAGCGATACATCTGTGCCAAAGCAGCACATGTGTGCACACAATCCGAATCCAACATCACACCCCAGGTGGTGTGGCTGGCAGCCATGTTATTTCCCCTTTGGCTGAAGCATCCTTGTCCCTCCATTGTGTCCCAGTACCTGATGAATTATCACTCTGGACAGAGATGGTGCAGCTGCAAGGGCTCCTGGGCCAGACTTGAGCTCTTTTAGAGTAAACTCTGACTCTAGTTCGTGAACTCTATGACTGCTGACAATAGCTACGAAAGTTACGGAGCTTGATGCAGGGGCAATAAAAGGTCAATGTTGCACACTTCCTCTACTGACTCTCCACCTATAATTAGCTGTTTCATTCCCTCTCTTTTGGTGCACACCAGCTGATGAACAACCTGATATGACCATCTTGACCTGTGTGGAATTAAACAAGAATGCAGCTGGGTAAATTTTGGATATTCCTGGCATTGGACCCCATCCCAACTCCTTATATCTCGTTCTCCTTCGCTCTCTTTCCCAGACCTCTGTGCCGAGGCTAATCCCACACACCTGCGAGAGCTCCGCACACTGCTGCCTGCCAAGAGTCCAGTCGTCCCCCCTGCCTCCTCCACCACACGGCCTACAGAGAGAGAGAGAGAGAGAGAATTAGGGATTATTACATTTATCAGTCACATTTAAAAAAAAAACAAAAAAAATCCCTTGGGTTTGTATGTATGGGAACTCAACAGAACAGCTATCTTAAATGTCCACATCTCCAGTATGATGTCAAGAGATTCATTTTCCCAACAAGGAATGTTGACAAAATTTGAAAGAAAGAAATCTTCCCTTACTTCCACAGCTTTTGTGTACACACATGCTAACTCCATCAATCCCTGGAAAACACTTCTTTCATGCTGGTTCAGAGTTTTCCAACAAACGAGGGGAAAACGATATTGAGCTTTGATGAGTGTCACAGATGGAAGATTATGATGAAAAGGGGAAATACTAGTGCTGGCTAAGATATTAGATCTGTTCCAAAACCTAGTGTGCAGCTTATTTCTGTTCTGTTCTATCTACTAAAGTATCCAAACTGACAAAAATTGCATGACGTGGCATGCAATCAACTTTGATGTTAGCATGTTGCTAAGCTAACAAAAATATTAAACTCTAAACAACTATTAAAGTACACAGCACACAGAATATCAAAATATTTTTCAACATTATATATGTCTTTACTGTGACTTTTGATCAATTTAACACATCTAATGCTGAACAAAAATATTAAATTGTTTTGGTTTTTTGAAAACATCAAACCTTTGAATGATACTGTATGCATACTCTAGTTGCAATGCATTCTGGAATTGTCTTCTCTGGAAAGCATACATGTAATGCTGTCTTCATGTTTGGCAATAATGAGACATCTTAGAAGCCAACATAATGTTGCGCCCTTTTAGAAGAGTTTTTATAATGCTGTCTAAGCAGCCGGCACACTCGGTTTTGGAACAGCGCTACTGTGTTTTTGAGACAGGTAAGGCAGGTTTGACGGGATCTCAGTCAATTGCACAATTTGTACTAATTTTAGGATGGCTAATTGTAGTTTGAACTCATAGTATTTAAAGAGGTGAAGTAGGAGGGAAGGAATGTGGTAAGTTAAAGAGAAATGTGTGTGTGAGGACTGTTGTAGAAAGGAGGGGGAGTTTCAGTGAGTTCACGTGTTTGTTGGTTTTATGTTGTGTTTGGTGGGAGTTATTATGCAGCCAGGCTGCAAATAATTGCTGGAGTTTTCCTACGACCTCAGACCAGGAGCATCTGATGGCTAAGAAAGGAAAACAATTGAAGCACAGCATGAAGTAATTTAGAATGATCCTCTTCAACTCTGTGCACAAGAACACACACACACATAAATGTTCTCTTCGTCAGTACATCATGTGTGTTTCATTAGCTGTCAGATTAAGGAAGAATCTTTGTTTTCAAGTTCAAAGAGCTTGTGCTGGAGAACATCCATTCCTCCACGTCAAACTCACTGGAAAAAAAAACTGGAAGCAAGTTCCCCTCGAAACAAACTGATTGGCCACTGATCTACATGCCAGGATGAACCTGACATGAACTACATTTGACACAAAGACAGGTGTTACATTCAACTGCAATTATGTTTTATCATTAAAATGACATATAAAAAAAAACGTTGTTACCTTCCAAAATATGTCAGAATGCCTTTATAATGAAAGTACAGTGTGTGCTGCATTTTCTGTGTTGCTACATGTGGGCAGTATGGTGGATTACATGTCTACTTAGACTTCTTAGCATGTCTACTGTCTTCTATAATCAGTTTTCTCTTTCATGTCAACTACTGTCATGGAAGAGAACCAGCTTGTTGAGAGTCTATATTGAAGCAAATATCCTTTAAGTTTAGTAAATATTTAGTCATAATGTTGATCCATTTTAGTCTGTTTTACCTATAATTTTAGTAAATGAAAATTATGATTTTGGTTGATGAAAAAGATTAAAATGAAAAAACATTTACAAACATTTTATGCAAAAACTCATGATTAAACAGAGGTAGTGGCAGATTTTCTTCTATATTGTGACGTACATCTGAGTGTAACGCATTAGAGAAAAAGATAATAAAAAAAAGAGAGGGACTTGGTATCATACATCAGTTGTTGATTGGATTTCGCCGTTGCACTCAAAAACGTTTAAATGGACAAAATTTTGGCATACACCACCTGAGAGAAGTCTGTCATTTCATCATAAGACTAAGGTATTTCAATTAAAAATTGAGGTAAAAAACAACATGCATTTACACCTTTGGGTCCAATTCTTTGGGTAACACTTTTGGGTCCAATTCTCACTATTAACTTGCTTATTAGCATGCATATTACTAGGATATTGGCTGTGTATTAGTACTTATAAAGCACATATTAAAGCTGTGCAGTCTGTAGCTTTTTTGGGGTTAAAAATGATCCAAAATACATATTTAAGAAAATACATAACCAGCCAGTGTTCAAAACTATCTGCTTGCTTTAGCTCGATTCAAAGCGGAAAGCTTGTAATAATGTTTTTAATTCCAGTGGTACTGGTGGATTTCCGCGGGAGATTCGAGCATGTCTTTGCAACATTACGTCACATCTGTACACATAAAGAAGAAGTCTCGGCTAGTATAAGCTAGATATTGCGTGTGAAGATGTTGGAGGTGGAGATTTATAGCCTTTTCTCACAGCACTTGATATAATTAAACTTATCAATTTGATGGCGGATCCAAAAAGGTTCAAACGACAATCACCAGTGACAACTGCAGATTCACCCGATGTAAAATGCAAAAGATTTCTTTCGGACTTCGGAGTGGCTACAGAAAAAAAAGAGACCGACACCGGACCCATGCGAAAACAAGGATACATATCGGAAGGACATTACATGTAGTCACGCAATCCTGACGTTGTTAACAATAACAATTTGAGAACAAAGTATAATTTGCACGGTTTTACGTGATATGATAAGCCATTGTTAGATTTAATCAGCGCGATTTACAGCAATGTCAGAACCAGAACAAAAGTGGATGTTACTTACTTGTTCAGATGACATTTTCCAGTGAAAATTATTATGTTGGTCATACTTCCAAAAAGAATAATCTGTGATTCTGAATGCCAGTATCCACACCGGCGCGGCGACTGACAGCTGCACACTCTCCTCAAACATTGTGTTCATCCGCGCTGTGCCGTGTCAAAGTACAACTCACGTTAAGTTGATATTTCCGCGAATGACTGCAATTGCAGATTTTGAACAGAGATGGCGACAAAGAGGAAAAACTGCGGACTGCAGCTTTAATGCCTTATTCTGCATGACCATATTGTACATCCCTCAATCCTACCCAATACCTAAACTTAACTAGCTTACTAACTATTAATAAGCAGTAATTAGGAGATTGAGGCAAAAGTCATAGTTAATAGTTAGTTAATAGTGAGAATTGGATCCTAATCTAAAGTGTGACCAAAAAATCTTAAGAAAAACAACATGTAAAAACTATACTTGTTGTGAACAACACCATGTTTAGTCACATTCAAATAAAAAAGAACCAAAAATTGGCACGTGTCTTTAAATGAATGACTTGGAGTTTGTTTCACCACTGAAAGGTCATGGATGGAGAAATTTGTAGACGTGAGCAGGTGGACTCCTTTCATGTGGAAAGATGGGGAGCTTGATAAACTGACATGGTCAGGGTAGGCTGTATGGTTTAATAAAGCACTGTGAGAAGCAGCGAGCCAGGCACTGGCAGCCTTGTGTGACAGGAACAGTGTGTTTAATATGATTCTGGCAGCTACTGGAAGCCACTGAAGAGATGTGAGTAAAGGTGTAGTGAGAGAGGATTTCTAGAGGTTAAACATGCTCAGAGCAGTAGGCAGTGGACGAGTTGCAGGTAGTTGTGAAATATTTTGGGCCTAAAATGGGAAATTAGGTTATTCAGGGCTAAAGAAAGAGCCTGATTTGCTTGACTCACAATGTTAAACCCACATCTAAGTCTGGCGTAGCTTGAACATTTCATCTGATAATAAGTATTATAAAGTCTGACTCAACTAACTCTTTCATTTAACCGAGTGCCTGAGATCAATTTAAAAACATCTATGTGGACAAATAGACCTTTTTCTAATCATACTTAAACACTAAACGTAAGATTTATTTACTATAGTCTTTTCCGGAACACACCACCTTGGCCAGGCATTACTCCAAATGTATGCATCAGCTTCAATTACTCAAAGCAAACTAAGACTTGCTCATGACACACTTGCACTTAATCATGGGAAAAAGTTTGATCCACTGACACATAAATGTCGAGTTGAGTGGGCACGGTGGGAAATAAATGGCCGGCTGATGTAATGACACAGCTGCTCAGTGGTTTTGTAACAGAGCAGCGCTGAGTTTAGGGGATTGTTGGTAGATAAACTTTGGGAATTGTGGGATACGCTGGAGAGAACAGATGGTTTACTGCGGCCTGCCACTCGGATGCCGGGGCTTAAATTGTTTTTGGTGCGAATGACTTGAGAACTGGTTTGGTGATACTTGAGGTTTGATTTCCCAACATGAAATGCTTGCCAGGATTGTAGATTGAGGCATTTTTTAAGTTCTCTGCGGCCCACTGCACTTTGTTGCACTCAATGTGCTCAAAAACAAAAACATGCGCATAGTACACAAACAGTACATCAAATCTTTTCATTTAAAAAAGGAAAAGAAAATGCTGATATGTTCCTGTGAAGGATTATTATTTTTTCACTGCTTTACAATTACAATTCTGGCATACGATTCAGCTGCTCAAAAATCTCTAAAGGTGTAAAATATACACGCACGTAGACGCAAGGATGGCGGTATAAAACAGAGGTGTAACGGTAGAAATTCCTCACGGTTCGGAAAATTCATTGTACTTTCACTATTTATGGTTGACTAAGAGACTCACTTAAATTGACTACTACTTATGCTGTCATTAGTTACTCACCCTCACGTCGTTCCAAACCAGCAAGACTTTTGTTCATCTTCGGAACACAAATGAAGATCTTTTTGATAAAATCTGGGAGCCTTCTGTCCGTACATAGACAGCTACGCAAGTTACGCAACTACCACTTTCAAGCCCCAGAAGGGTAGTAAAGACTTCCTTAAGTAATCCAGTGATTTAACCTCAGTGCTTTGGTAAATTGTTAGGTTTATTTGCGCAAACACTTTATTTATATAGTAATATTAATCTACAACGCGTGTTAACGTAACGTCCGGTCTCGAGTCAACACAGCACGCATTCGTCATGATGCTCTCGACAAAATTAATATTTTGTAAAAGTAACAAAAAATAAAGAAAATGTACAAAAAAATACAAATATCATATAAATACAATAAATGACTTTAAAGACCTTGATCATTTAAGGTGGTAGATGGCATAACGGCAGCACACACTAATAATACTAAACAGAATGTTATCGTACGTTGGTGTGGCAAATATAGTTATCATTGCAGTTTTTTTGCCGTGAAATGGACTTTACAAATAAAATAATTATCAATGTATTCATTTAGAAATAAATCACTTTTTATATAATGAATAGACATAATAAATAGACATGTTTAAAACGGTTTAGTAAATTCAAGTTCAGAAAGGTAGTTAAATGTGACAAAAAATGTGTAAATTATTTTTCAAATTTCCAAATAAATAGGCATTCAAAACTGTTTAATTATTCATTGTAGTGCTTAAAATGTTTTAATGTAAGCTCATTGATTGTCCCTACCAGTTAATTTTTTAACATGCCTTCAAATAAAAAAACAAAAAGCATTTGGCAGAAAGATAAAGAAAATACATTTGTAAATGCTTTGTAAAAAGGTTTTAAATTATTTTAAAAATTGGAAAAAAGTATCAATTTGTCATTTATAGCTACATTGAACTACATTTTTTACTTTTTTTTTTACATTAATTAAAAATAGTTTAAATATTGTGTCATTTATGTCAATTACCTGTTCGTTTAAAAGGGGGGTTATTTTGTAGTTCACCCAGAATTCTGTCATCATTTACTCCATTTATTTATTCCAAACCTATATGACTTGTTTTCTTCTGTGGAACATAAAAGATGATTTTCTGAAGAATGTTGGCAATTTTGGTGAACTCTGACTTTCATTTCTTTCCACAGTGGAAAGAATGTCAAAACACAGGTTTGGAGCAACACAAGTGTAAATGTAAATGATGACAGAATTTCAGATGAACTATCCCTACACTGATTTTTGTTTTTTAATCGACAGTCCTACTCCATATAGCCAAGCATATAAAACCACTGAAACCACTGGTGCTGTACCTGGTTGGCCCTCAATGTCCAATGTAAAAAAAAAAAAAAAATTGCTGAATTAACCCTACACTTTTTCTTTTTTTTACACAAAAATTAGTTTCCAGTGTCATTTAAAACTGAAAGCACCCTTGAAAGAATGTGGTATTCTTGGAAATAATCAATGAAGCGAAAGCAGTCGTTTAAAACCAACACTGGCATCCCATGCCATTGTCTCATCTACGCTTTCTTGCTTTTCAAAGCCATGCTCTTTTGAAAGACAGTTTAGCAAAGACTCACATTCCAGCAGCTCCACACAGATGGCCGGAGAGGCCGAAAACATGGACGAATGAAGGAGTGAGAAAATGCCTTTGAAAGTGCCACAAAGAGGCGGCCATGAATGACACTCCTTATTACGGTGGAGAATTGCGGTTAAAGCTCGCCCACAGCTGCACGTGCTATTGTCCTCCGATGCCTCTCCTTCTCTGCTTCGCTCTGGTCGCTAGGCCAAGAGCGCTAATGGAATTTTCTGCTCTCGCCCTGGAGACATGTCGTCATCCTCACAAACGGGGCCTTTTTTGAAGAAAAATTACTTTTATGTGGCCCGGACCAGACAATGAAAAAGGAAATGGACATTTGGCTAAGACTCGATGTTTGCGAGAAATTACGATTCCGCTTAACCACCGGTGAGGGCGACCAATAAAATGCATCGTCATTTTGAGAGCATCTAAAAAAAAAGAGAGTTATTAACCGATATGGTGGCAAAGTGTTTGTAGTTTGGGTTGTAAATGTGTCAGACCATTACCAGGCCATTATTCCTTCATTTGAGCAAAATTATGAGGCCAAATTACAGCAAGTGAAAGGTGGATTCATACCTTTAGGTACTCCCAGAGTGGAAACTGCACCAGCGAGAATGGAATCTGAAATTAAAAGAAAGAGTTTTTTATTATATAGAACAGAACAGAAAATGTTAACTGCGTTAAAGGGATAGTTCACCTAAAAAACGAAATCAAAACAAACAAAAACAAAATCACTCTCCCTTATAGTATGTCGGTCCAATCTGTATGACTTCTTTCTTCAGTGGAACACAAAAGGATAAATGTTGAAGAATATACTAGCTGCACACAGGGACGGACTGGGGCTAAAAAACAGCCCTGGACTTTCTCCCAAATAGGCCCATCATCCAGCCATTCGCCCCTAGCCACTAGGATGTCCTGATACTATGCCACAATACTGTAACCTATATCAGACAAGGTATTCACAGCAAGTAATATCTCAAAAACAATGATGACAATTGGGGTTTTGTTTATTAATGAAGCCTCAGTCTTCAAATAAAAACAACAAAATGTACAATGCCATTACATCTGCATTGAAAATAAAATACAAATAATGAAATGTCACTGGCTACAGAAACCCTAATTACACAAACTTGTAATTATAAAACATTTAGTTACTATATACCAGGGGTCTCCAACCTTTTTGTGTGTGAGGGCTACCTCAAGGGATAAAATAATCTAGAAGGGCTATACTCAAAAATATTTATTATACATATAACATGGTGGTGTTTTTTACCTTACCTTTACCTTTACGTTTACTTTTAACTTTTTTATTTTTCACCATCATATGCGAAATAATAAAATATCTTGATATTCTGGTTCAACAATTCCTGAAAAATTTGTAATATATATATATATATATATATATATTATTCTCTAAAAACCTATTGTAGCATAAACATTTAGTATAAATATTTAATGCAAAATAAATAAATAAACTGCCATAACTTCTAAACAAAAACATTACTGCATTACATTTAATAGCCTACATTTATAAACCTACATGACTATTAATATAACAGCATTTTTAATATGAATACAGGCACATTTCTGCCAAAAAAGTTTGTTTTACTAAGTTACAGTTAATTCATAAGTTGTGGAGTGAAATGTCTTCTAACTGGTTTGTTCTTGGAACAATGTTTCACCTGTTTTTTTGCGTCAAGATGTTGAGAATATCAACGCTGTTTAATCTGGCTTTTAACTAGCTTAAATCACAGCCATCTGTGGGTTTATAATAGAGATAGAGAATTCTGCGCTGAATTGAAATGCTTCTCAGTGGATCGCGCAACTCTGTGTAATAATGTTCGCGTGATCGAGATCAGTCCGCACAGCTGCTTCGGCCGCGATCGCAGTTTTTTTGGGCCGAGCTGATAATGCTCGGCGCTGGCATCCAACTTAAAGGTGCATTGCTGCCACCTACAGTACTGGAGTGTGAAACAGATTAGTGGGGGGAAAAAACAGGTTATGACTGCGTGTGTGGCGGGTGGTGGGCCGGCCCGCCGGCCGTCCTGGAGTACCGGCCGTTCTGTGATACTCCAGATCACACAGATGGCCAGTCCGCCCCTGGCTGCACAATGAAAGTGAATGAAGATTCCATAAAAGTATCACCACCATTTGTTAAGATTTTTCCTTTAGTATTCCACAGAAGACAGAAACTCATACAGCTTGGAACGACATGAGGAAAAACATTTTTTTTTTGGGTGAACTAATAATACTCTTAAGTCTGGATACAAACTCTGTCGTACAGTGAGATAGAACACAGTTTTGGGGATTTTTTTGTTGTTGTTGTTATAAATAAAAAACAGCCTTCAGAACAACCAAAATAATGCCATTATGATGTGGGGGGGGAGAGAAAAAATAAAGCGCAGAAGTCTTCTGTAAAAGAAAATGGATTACTTCTGGCAACTATGGAAGCATATGGGTAGCAATATTCAATTTGAAATGTAATATGCAAAATGACAATGCAATATGTAAAATGGCATTGCATTCTGTATTTAAATTTACATTTTACATTACCATTCTAGCAACGTTTGGTGCAAAATGAAAAGGCAAATGTAAATTATGTAATTTCATTTTCAATTTCATACACTAGTTTTAATATGCATATTGAAACGCTTTATAAGTTGCAAAATTAAAATGAAAATGCATTACAGAAATGATTAGCATGTGTAGCATGTTCAAGCAAAAACTGTGGCAAAATGATCATTCAAATGTTATTTTTCTTAATTGCATTTACACTCACAGTCAAGACACTTGCGATTGCATTTTCATGAAATGTCCCGCAATGAATGTAGCAAAATTCAATGTGCACATTGAAAATGCATTCCGAGCCGATCACGCCCCCTCCTGCCCTGTCAATCACTGCATCAAGGCGGGGCTTAAGTTGTGTTGTTTCTCTCTATGGAACCAGGTACTTGGAAGCATGACGCCTCCGGATCGAAGTGGTAGGACACGGGGTAAGTTGGCAGAAAGAGAATAGACAAGGGGTCGGTAGTGTGACCGCAGCCGCAGGTAAAGCCGGGTGTCACCCCATTTTATTTTTTTTATTTTTTTATTTTTGGCCAAAACGAGCACTTTTCGTACATACGCTCTATGGTCACGTAAGAGTGTGATCGTCAAATACACTCCACAGTCCAGACTATGGAAGCATATGGGTAGCAATATTCAATTTGAAATGTAATATGCAAAATGACAATGCAATATGTAAAATGGCATTGCATTCTGTATTGAATGCAATGCCATTTTACATATTGCATTGTCATTTTGCATATTACATTTCAAATTGAATATTGCTACCCATATGCTTCCATAAAGTTCAACCACAAGCATTGGCCATTTATCTCATGTGTCAAACTGTTTTAATACTGATGTCTGTACGTCTGGAAGTGTGAAGTATATATGAGTGTGTGTGTGTGTGTGTGTGTGTGTGTGTGTGTGTGTGTGTGTGTGAGTGAGTGTGTGTGTGTGTGTGTGTGTGTGTGTGTGTGTGTGTGTGTGTGTGTGTGTGTGTGTGTGTGTGTGTGTGTGTGTGTGTGTGTGTGTGTGTGCGTGTGTGTGCGTGTGTGTGTGCGTGTGTGTGTGAGAAAGACGCAGAGGGAGATGATAAATAAATGAAGAGTCTGTGGTCACAGAGAGAGAAAAAGATAGAGAGAACAAAAGAGAGAGAGAGGTGGCAGAAATCCTCCTGTTCACCCAATCAGGCACAGCGGAGCAAAAAGAGAGGAAATCGATGGCCCTGCTGAACCGTGGATTGACAAAATCCCAAAATCATGTGACTGGCATAAAGCCAGAGCTAAGGTGTTCTAAGCTAGGGCATTGCTAGGCAGTTATTACAGTGTCCTGAGTGGTTTCTAGGGTGTTGCCAGGCAATTACTGCGGTGGAGTGAGTGGTTGATACAGTTATGCTAGGGAATTCTGGGTGGTGCTGCTTTTTTTTTTAGCCAGTTGGTAAGGTTTTAAAAAAAGTGATGGTTAAGGGGTTGCCAAGTATTCAATAAGATGTTTAGAGTGGTTGCTAGGGTTGCTAGGGTTGCTAATTCACTGTTACTAGTGTGTTTCTAGGCAGTTGTTAAAGTATTTGTTAAGGGTTTTTTCCGAAACATTTGGTAATGTGTTCAGAGTGGTTGTTAGGGTGTTGCCAGGCAGTCGCTAAGGTGTTGTGAGTGGTTGATAAGGTGTTGCTAGGGAATTCTAGCTGGTGCTAGTGTGTTTCTAGGCAGTTGCTAAAGTGTTTGTTAGGAGTCTTGGGCAGGCAGTTATTATAGTGTTCTGATTGGTTGCTAGGGTGTTGTCAGACAGTAGCTAAACTGAGTCCAGGGCATTGCTAGTCTGTTGCTAAAGTGTTCAGAGTGGTTACAGAGGTGTTGCTAGAGTAGTACTAGCGTGTTGCTTGGCAGTTACTAAGGTGTTCTGAGTGGTTGCTAGGGCATTACTAGGCAGTTCCTCAAGTCTATGATGTTTTAGGGCAGGGGTCTCCAAACACCACGTCCTGCAGAGTTTAGCTCCAACCCCAATTAAATACGCCTGAACCAGCTGATCAGTGTCTTACTAGGGCCTTAAACTGAGATCAGTATAAGAAACTATGCTCCATACAAAACTCTTTATTGGAAACATCTCATTGGAACAATAGAGTTTAATCTAATACAAAAAAAGTCTGACTGTGAAAACAAAACCCTCATTGGCTTTAGTTGGAAAAACGTCCAAGTTTTGACAAAAATGAACATAACGAACACAATGAAGCAGCACTGTAAACGCTGCGTGGGCATCATGCACACTGCCAGAGCGTTGCATCTCTGATTTCAAAACAAAGAACAGATTGGTGCAATGTGACCCGATGCTGGGGAGTGTGTGTCTTTGTGCGTTTTTCTACAAAAACTAAATCAGCCACCTGTCTTTTATTACCAACGTGATAAATTCAGCGCCTCGGTGCTCAGGAGAAGTGGAACGCTTAGAGGAATCTGCTAAAACAGAAACGAGGCACAGCTGATTTATACATAAGTTTAACACTTCTGGCAGAGACGGGGCGCCTGAGCAACACAGATGGTCAGATTTATATTGATAAGGCCGTAATGGATGAGAAGAGAGAGCGGATGACGGATATGGAAAGACAGAAGGATAGAAAGCAGGTTTTTGACCAAAGGCCAGAAAGCTTCTTCACAAGGAAGAGTCGTTCCAATGGATGACGGCAGATTTAACATGTGTGGTCTGAATGCTGACCAGCTGTACCGATATCAGTTTAAGCACATTTGCATCACACTTTTTCCCTGAATTGCATTTATAATGTAGATTAAGGTTTCCTGCACCAAAAAACAAACCATAACGGTGTTGTGTGGTATTGTCGATTTGGAGATTATAGAGAAACAACAACACACCGATGTGCATCAAACACTCTTCTCTGCTGTCAGTGTCGCTATCACGGTGTGTAACTGTCAGGTACGTTATCATTGAGAGATAGGGCTGGCTGTGTGTTTGTGACGAGGTTACTCATGGGAATATTAGTATTCTGTTGTGTTCTTCACTGTCAGGCTCCTGGCCGCCAGTGTGATATCTGGGAAAACAGATGTCAAAATGCATTTAAATGAAGC